AATTTAATGATTAAAATAAAATATAATCATTATTAGTGCTATGAAAAGAGAAATAAAACCCAAGACAGACAAGTGATTCACAATTGCTCACCACCTGCTGACTGATGTCCAGCCCATCCCTGAGTCCTAATCAGCCCCTCCTGGCTAATTTCCTTCTGTTTATATGTTGAGCATGACAGTCTATGGTGTGAACTTTCCTCTGATTTGTTCCTGGCAGCTGTCCTGGCTATGGAGCCACACTGCTGCTGGTGCTTCTGCTCACTGGCAGAACATGGGAAACTGAAAAGTCCTTGACTTTGGGTAAACACTTCTCAGCAACAAGCACGTTTTAGTAACACTGTCCTTAAGCCCAAAATCACAATGCAGTACCAGTTACTAGGACAAAATTATCTCCATCCAAGCAAGGACAACTTCTCACCTATGCTAAGGTGAGATTTAGGGAGATATCTTACAAAGGGTCACTGCAGGAAATTTTTGGAGTGATGCCCTTTAGACTGCTTTCCCCTAGAGAGTGGCAAGCCATTCCTCAGTAAATATTGCCACACAGTCAATCATAAGGCCAGAGGATCATCCTTGTCTCCACATAATCAGGTTTCTGGAGGAGGACAGAAGTCAAATACTAGCTCAGAAGCATTAAAGCACTGATTTTCTGTGTAGCACTTAAGCAAAGGAGCAAACAATCTATTAACCAAGCAGGAACATTGAGAGAAGACCAACAGCTACACTTCACTGCAGGTCTAGACTGCTTGGAGCCATGCACACACCAGAAATTATCTAGGAACAGAGAAGCTGGTGCCAAGTCTCTACCTGTGCTTACTCAAGACAAAAAGCAGTTGTATTATACTCCCTCCAAGAAGTTACACATAAAACAGAGGCTGGGATTATTCTCTCAAGAAACTGGCTCAGTAGCTAAGTTGTATTTTAGGACAGTGACACAGGTGAAGAGATGCTAACCTCCCTCCACAAGCTCACATTGGTTTTGCTACCCCTTCCCTAGTAAATTTGCTACCCTGAGAACAAAGCCCTGCTTTCTTCAGATTCGCTGAGCAACTGTCTTACACAAAAAGAAACACTGTGGCACCAGACAACAAGCTGGTTGGAGCTGACCAGTCTTGCCAGGCAAAGTACACATCCCAGCCACAACGCCATTTCCAATTTTCAAGACAAAACCCATTAGCATCCACAAATGTGCTGAACAGAGCAGCAAGTGCAGCTGCCTACCTCCAAGCTCCCCCCAGACAATGAGCTTCTTGAAGGGAGATGCCTTTATCTCCTACAGAGGCGCTACAGACCTGCTATTACCTTAGGAGTGTGCGGGGTGTCACAGAGCTGCAGCTTTTTCCAGGTGATGTGCAGTGGTGTCTCAGGTTTACTCCAGCTCTTGCTTACAGATGGGGAAGACTTCAGGGTGGGACTCATCCAAGCTTTTGTTCTGCTCAGGAAAATCTCACTAAGCTTTCTCTGAGGGGTTGCTGGCAGAGGACTGCTCTCTTGCCATTTCTGGAACTCTGAGCTTCTGGGGGGGCTCAGGCTCAGGGAGTCCTCCTCATTTACACTTCTTTCTTCACTCTCTTCACCACAACTGGAAAAGTCCAGTTGCTGAACGAATTCATTGTTGTTGTCCCAGTCATCCATGTTAGCACATGAAACAGAACAGGTAGAGCTGATACTGGCCTGTTTTGTTAGAGACAGAAAGACAGCATTATTTACAGATAAACTATCTTCTTCCTTGCTTCATCAAGGGCATCAGTTCTGCTGACCACATACACAGAAACCTTGGTCATTCAGCACTGTACCTAGACAGCATTGGTTGATGAAGAGCACCCCAGAATTACCAGGTACAAAGCCATTCCACTACTGCTCATGTAAAAACAGATTTTTGCTTTTTGCCTTACTGACATAAGTCAGATACAACTCAGAAGTCACTGCCTTTGCCAGTAAGAATCATCCCCTATTCCCATCACACAAGGAAACACACACTAAAGAATAACACACACAGACTCCACTCGCTTTCTTCTACAATAAACTTCTCAACCAGAGGGGAGGGGGAAAAAAATTCCATGCTACATACAGCTGTAAAAGCAGAGGACACCCCAAGAAGTCACCAGATACCCCATAGACAGCCTTGCTCCTGCCCTGGACCATTTATAACCACCCCACACCTGAGCCAATGCTAATGGGAAACATCTGGAGCTTGGCAGCACCTGTCCACAGTTGCCTGGTGGATGAAGAATTCTCTCTGGATGTGGATTTGCAGTGCCAACAAGCAGCTCTGCAGGGAGCCTGACTCCGTCTCAGTCTGAGTCATCTCCCTGCTCCTGCATGCTCATCCCTTCTCCAGCTTCCTGGGGCCTGTAAGGGGGATGATGTTTGCTGACAGCCTGTCTGCTCCATAATCCCATCAGAGATCCAGCCTTTGTGGGCTTTACCTTTTACCTGTATACCCCCTGTGATGATGGGGCCTTGTGTTTCCTCCTTTAAGTCTGAATTTCACTTCATGCATTTAGATATGCGTTAGTTTGGTCAAGCATTGCAGCCTGCATGAAGAGGTCATTAGCCTAATTCATAATGCACAGATTTATGAATGTATAATTTCTAAGACTTCAGGAGAGAGTCAGGAGCAGGTCAATGTCTCCCTTCACTGCACCTCTTTGTAAAAAACAGGAATCTTCTGAGCCTTTGGCAACCTGTGTTTCAAAGTGGGACTAGAGCAAGTTTTAACAAACTGGGGACAAGGTTACAGCAGCCCTTTTTCTTAGCCTTGAGGAGAGCTGCCAGAAGGACGTGCAGAGATTGGAAGTGGCTGCAGCCCATAGGAGATGGGTGCTTGGCACAAGCAGCATCTGCTTTCCTTTGCACACATCAAGGGTAATTCCCACCAGAACACACAGGGTCACATTGGTCTGAGGTCTCTGTGCTCTCCTAACCCATTCTTTAAATGAAAAGTATGGCCATATGGATCTCTGAAATTGCTTGTTAAGACTGTGATGAACAATTCATTCGATATAGAAATTATTTGCATCCTATGCACCAAAACAGTCTCAAGAGGACATGGCAGGAGCCCAGTTCTGGTTGCATCTGGCCCACAGGTTGCAGTATTTCTTGCAGGCACAGAGCTGTTGCTGCCATGCAGCCTCTCTTAGCCTCAAATGCAGCTGTTGCATCTCCCTGTGCCTTATTCTGAGCGAGGTCCAAAAGCCTGGCAGTGCCAGCACTGGCTGCTTTCTGCTGTGACAAGCTGTGTCTGCAGCATCTGGCCAGCTCAGATCCAGGGCCACTTTAGCACTGCTGTGATCTGACTGCATTCATCAAATGTTCAGTAGCTGAAGTATCAGATTGAAATATATTAATTCTGAAGAAATAAAGCTTTTATTCCCCATGATGACAAGTTTTTAACACCCAGAAAGGAAATTCCTTCAGACCAGTTTTCAATTCCACCTTAAACAATTTTTAAACCTCCCCGCCCCCTGAGGATTTAGAGTAACTATCCATTTTTCCAAGGAGGGATGTGATATGTAAGGGAGAAAACTTGGACCTGCTGTGTAAAGAGGGCCAGCTTGTTCATCTTGCATTTTAAAAATAAAAGCTACCACACTTTCATTTACATTTCTCCTGACTGTTCAAAGACCTGATGACAATTTCCTGAGCCCTCAGCTGGAGGGAAAAGGTGTTCATTTCCTTCTGAAGTAGAGTTTTTGTTTCTATTATCTTCCAGCCTAAATAATTTCAATTTTGGCAAAATAATAAAACAGTAGAAAATATGGTCTTTGTTTTTTACGTGTATCCAACAAAGAGTGTGCCGTCAGCAGGCCCAAATTGCTTGCCAAAGCCGTATCAATGGCTCCGGTACCACCAGGTCCCTTGTCCCACAGGTGTTTTCAGCAAAGCTGGGAGCTCAGAGCATGGTGATGTTTCACACATCTCAGAGGCAGCACTGGCAGCCCCTGCTCGCTGTCACTGCTTGCTCTTCCCACTGCACCCCCTCCTCATGCTGGGGCAATACTGGTGTGGTTGCACTGCTGAAGGGACCAGGAACAGCTCTACACCACAAATAGCTCACGTGGGTCATGAAGGAATTCTTATTTGGGATTTGTTTCCTGCCTAGATTGCTGGGGGACAGACACTTGACATTTGCAGCAGCACTACTGTGGAGATGAAGATAGAAATGAGCTGTCACTTCAGCATCACCAACATGCAAAAATATATTCATCCAAATGAAGATTGGCACTGTCTATACAGTTAAAGCAAAGCATGTAGCCAAGTATTTGCAGAATCTGGCTTTTCTTTACACAGTAACAAAATATTGTGCAGGGTTTGTTTCTTTTTTTCTTTACCAGTCACCTTCTATGAAAAACTCCATCTGCTAAAAACCACCTACTCTGGTCTATAGCTCTGCAAAGTAAACTTGTGCATGGGCTTTGCGAAACAAAGTGCCCACTCAGTGTTGGAGCTGTCTGAAATGAAGCTCACAGCAAACGGATGCTAATGTTACCAAAAAAAAGAGAAAAAACCCAAACCCGACTGCTGAGGAAACTGGATGATGGGTTTCTTAATGGGGTATTGAACATTCAGAACTGCTCAACAGGAAAAAAGTTAGACAATTAAGGCTTTTATGACAGCATCTTCCTTTTAATTGTGGCCTGCTTAATTGGGTAATTCAATTAATCAGAAAGACCTAGGGAACCAAGTTAATCCTAATGGCACCTAATGACATTGGTGGTGGCATAAGGAAGATGATAATTACAAAAAGTTGGCTGACTGTAGATGCCTTGGTCATGCATCTGTCCCCATCTTTCAGTCCACTTGTTCCGCCCAAATTTGTTTCACATCCTTCTGTAGCACGTATGTACATATACATACATGCATACATATATATATGTATACATATATGTACATATACATATGTACATATACGTATATATGTATATATGTGTACATATATATGTATATATATATGTGTATACGTATATGCATACATATACATACATATATATACACACATATATATGTACACATACCAGTATATACTGGATCAATATCCCTGACTGCTTCAGGTTTGTGGCTCGCAGCTTCCACCACAGCCATTTGAGAGGGTGCGAGCCTGCCCCCGTTGCTCTGCCCAGTTCCCGTGGTTTTGCCAGCAGGACGGCTTTAACGGGGCTGAGGGAGGCAGCTGCCCGGCGTTGCTGTCACAGCCTTTTGGAGACAGAAGGCGGGCAGCTGGCTCTGCCCTGCGCGAGGAGGTGAAGCTCGGGCAGGCGGACTGTCCCCAGCCCGCCGCGCTCCTCCAGAAGCCGGCACCGGAGAGCTCCGAGCCGGGATCTCCGCCAGCTGCCCCGGGCGGCTCCGGCCGCTCCCCAGCACGGCGGCCCCGCGGCCCCAGCCCCGCCCCGCCGGTGACACCCCCGTGCTCCCGCCCCTCGCTTCCCGCCCCCCGCCGGTGCGGCGCGGGGGGTGCGGCTCGGCTCGGCTCGGCTCGGCTCATCTCATCTCATCTCATCTCATCTCGGTTCGGCTCGGCTCATCTCATCTCGGCTCGGCTCATCCCTGCCTCGCTCGTCTCGGTTCATCTCTGCTCGGCCCGGCTCGGCTCATCTCTGCTCGGCCCATCTCTGCTCGGCCCGGCTCGGCTTATCTCTGCTCGGCTCCGCGCCGCTCGGCCCGGCCCGGCCCGGCCATGGTGGAGCGCTCGGACGAGGCGCCGCTGCTGTTCTGGGCCGAGGGCCCCGCCCGGGCGGCGGCTCGGAGGCGGCTGGAGCGCGGCTCCGTGGGACGGCGAGGGGCCGGCGGAGGCGGCGGGGCCGCAGCGGGCCGAGGCGGAGGAAGACCAGATCGTGGCCGTCTTCGTGGTCACCTTCGACCCCCGCACGGGTGAGCGGCGCCGGGAGCGGGCGCGCTGGGACGCGGGGGCCGGGCCTGGGGCTCCTGGTGCCCCTGGAGTAAGATGGATGCGGCCGGGACTGGGCTTCCCTTGGGGAGCGCTCCCCCCGCATCCCGCCTCCCAGGGACCACTCCTCCCGCCGTGCCGGGGCAGCGTGGCGGACCCAGTGCGGAGCGGCCGCGGGAGCCGGGCTGCCCTCTGCCCCCACGGGGGACAGCGGCTTCACCGCACGGCTGCCGGGGTCGGGGCCGGGGGCCGTGCGCATTTGCCGAAAACGGAGCACAAGGGGGATCGCTTTTGGTCTCCATCCCGCCGAAAAGAAGTTCTGGCGGGAGGAAGGCGTCGCGTCTGGTGCCGCTCGGAGGAGAGGGATGGGTGTATCTCCCCGGCACAGGGAGTTTGTGGACGGCGCTGGGGCATCCCCTGCGCCCCACACAGATTTAGGCCGAGCCTCTGCCCAGCGCTGCCTGGAGGGCACCAACCTGTTAGCAGCATCTTGAGAGCATCTTTCTGCCTCCGTGGAGCGGCGCAGACCTGCCCGCAGCTATCGGTGATGGATGGCGTTTGTGGCAGGCGTAAATCCGGCAGGCTCGCAGGGCATGATCAGCAGCAGCAGCAGCAGCTCAGCTGCGTATTTCTTGGTGACCAGTGTGTTTAGAGGCTGGCCTCTGGCGGGATCTCTGGGACTTAGTGCTTTGAAGGAATGCTGTGATCCAGGAGGGCAGAGGAGGGGGGCAAGGGAATATATTTTCTACTTCTCATTGCCATATCATTCTCTCTCAATGTTGTTGGACTATGCTGTTGTATCAGTACTGACAGAGGTTATTAATTTCAAACCTGTAAATCAGCATTTCAGAAAATGTTTTAACTTTGTTTTCCTAGTCCCACTGCCCCCACAGTAGCCACCAAACAGGATGTTAGGACACAGATAGGAAGTTAGCACCTGCCTTGCACCTGTGAACACAGGTACTACTGTGCAGAGGGGTCTGATGTCCTGAGACACATTGTTGGGTCTTTTGGCTGCCAGGCACCAACCTGGGGTTCAAAGGCAAGAGAGAGATTCAGGAGCCCATTTACATCCAGATGTGAGACTGAGCTCCTCTTTCTTTTCTAGACAGGCACTGCCTTAGCAAATCCACAGCAAAAGTACACGAGACAGGAGTCTGTAAAGCACAGTGAGGTCAGTTCTTGAGTGGGAGGGGAAAGTACCTGACATCCTGCTCACAAGAGGGCCTTGGTAGTGAAGACTGAATGCCAGTCTTGAACTGAATATCCTAAGGAAGTAGAGAACAGGAGGTAGCTGCTGGTGTTATGTGGTGTCAGACAGCATGGCTGCAGTGTCCCAAAACACCCAAGGGATTTTGAGAAGTTACCCTTTCATATTGCACCTGAGGGAAGTGTCTTCAGTCTAGAGGTAATTCACTCATAAAAATCTGAAATAAGAATGGATGTCATCTTTCCACCAGGAGATGGAAAGTGGAGGTGTTTCTCCTAAGTATCCAAAACATGAAAGAGTCTGGGTGACTGCAGCAACAGCAGGTTGCCTTTCAATCCGACAGCATATGCCTTCTATGAAATTGTGAGATTTTCTTGAGATTTGGCAGGAAGCTGAGCTTTCTCAGGAGTTAACCAGCTGTTGCTTTGAATGAAGTCCAGGGAAAGTTGGGCAACAGCTCTTCTCACATCTGATGTGCAGTTAATGCTGGGTGTCACCAGCCTTGGAGTAGTCTGTCAAGTCCAGGAATATTTAGCCTCCTGCTGCTACCCAGCATGGATGATAGTACTGTGAGCAATATACCAGCAAATGTCAGCTTTACAGCTGGGAAGCAAAGTGCCCTGCACAGGGTGTGGACTTGGAAAAACATCATGAAGTTGCAGTGGTGTGAACTTGCTATGGTCAAAAAGAGAATGCGGGAATTACTGGTGAACCACATCAGATAGTGTGAGGAACTGCTTTAATGTTTGTAAGAGTAGCTGGTCCTTGTGTATGACTTAAAGGAAATCATCCAGTTAGTGTCTGAGCTGCTTGATCCTGCCCAGAAAAAGCATGGCAGACCTCTGTGGCAGCTTGCTGAGGCATAGGAACAGCTGAATTTCTGTGCAGGTGGTTATGCCAGGTAGGGTCTGTCCAAATACAGGCAAATAGGTGGGCAAGAGAGATTTTACTGTAGAAGTATGAACTGGTAACCATGCTAATAAAGAATGTAACAACTTCTCTTCAAAATTTAGAAGGGCTTGAAGTAGAAGAGCTTAGTGTACAGCAGTTGCATGTGATGAGTTTCCAAAGGTAGGTTATGGGGTTGCCAGGTCACTGTTACAGTTCCAGTGTCCCTGTGACTGTCAGCGCCCATGTGAGTGACTGACATAAGAGCCAGAGGCAGCTTCTGAATTGGTGCAGTCCTCACCTGCAGCATGGTGAACCTTGTGGCACTTGAGAAGGAGCTCTCTTCACTGCTGTTGTGGGGCAGCTGATAACAGTCACCTTTGTGGAGGTCCCACACAGCTTAAAGGGTCTGTGAGTAATGGAGAGAGACAAGGAAGAGACGGAAGTTTTTTGCACCAGTGTTTTGCACCAGTGAACATGCAAATATTCTGTTTTTCTGTCCCACATTTCCTCCATGCAGAAAACTGAGTGAGTGTAATGTTTAGGTTACACTTTATGCCTCTCCTGTCCTGGCACAACATGGTAGCACTGCACAGCTGGGGACCCTAAAGCCATCGGGAAACATCTAATAGTGAGGAGTGACAGGTGATGACCCCAAATGCTGGTGCCAATATCTTCTTTGTGAGGATGTGAAAATCCAGTGGAAAGGAAATACAAGGGAAAGAGGAAGAACATCCTTAACTTTGCACACTAGAAAATGAGTGCTGGCTCAGACCTGACCTGAAGGTGGGAGATAGCTTCCAGGAGATCAGATGTGCACATCTGACTCTCAGCAGAATCACTAGTCTGCTCTCTAGTGCTGCGTGACTCTCACTTGGAAAGTTTCCTGTGTGCACGAGAGCTGCTTTCTCCATGGGGAAGGGCAGTGCTTCCTGTTTTTATACAACATTGCTCCCTCCTCCCTCCTCTGGTTTCTCAGGCAGACTGGCAGTCCTATTGCATCTGGGTGAAGTCTCTCCTTTGTTTGCTCTCCTGTTTCGCCAGACTGACTTTCCTACTTTTTAATCTCGGCATTTGTTCTCCGACTGCCACGTCGCTCATGTGTTCATAGGGCAAGGTGGCGTGAGGAACAGCCAGGAGCACAGCTGCAGGTTGCTCCTGACAGATCCCAGAAAAAAAAAAATAGCTACGTGATAGGTGAGCTGGTTTTGAGGTCACATGCAGGGTAAAGATCTGTTTCAAGGCATCCTTTCCTTATTGCTGCTACAGAACAAGCATTGTTTGAACAATGTCCACTCTAACGCCTCTGCAGTGGATGTAACACCTGACAGTGTTTGTGACTAAACTGAGCAAAGCCCATCTTCCTTTGCTTTTGTTGGCACTGTCACCTATCCGTCTATGAATCTACAGTAATGACCAGTAAGGGATGCTCTGGCCTTAACCACAATTCATGGTTATGAGGCAACAGTCTCAAGAATTGACTTCCTCACGCTTTCAGGGAGGGTTCTTGTGCCTTTAAAGAGCAAACCAAACAGGCTCACACAAGCCCCAAACAACAAAAGCCACCATCTATATATAATCTGCAGGCCCTTCAGGGGAGCGCGCGGCTGCCATGATGTCACTGGCTCTCTCTGCCAGCCTTTCACACGCCTCAGAGGCCGAGGCGCTGCACAGCAGAGCTCTGTGCTCTCGTCTGTGACTGCACAGGGCTGCGCTCGGGTCACGAGGCTGCTGCTGCTCCCCGGCTCTCCGGGAGAGGTCTGCTTGTGCACTGCAAATGGGCGCTTGGATGCATAGCTTCTCCTGTTGCCATGCCTAACACTGTTGGATTTTTTGAAGTCCTTGCCAGACAGGGTTGGGGGAGGTCTACTGAATACAGCATCCATGTGAGAAGAAAAATAGCCTATTTAAATGTCAGTGGCTAAGTCTTATTCCTGTGCAGGCATATACTTTTGCAGTATGAGTAATGAGACAAAAGACAGGCTTCAGAAATGAGGCCTGAGATTTAAATATCTCCCAGAGTCGTGGCTGAGTGTAAGGCCCCTCCAAATGTACATTGTCTGTGCAAGCACTGCTGGAATGCTCACCCCAAAGGGCAGGGAAAGGAGTGAACCAGTAGGAAGCACCTTTTTGCTGCACCTCCCATTGCATTATCCTGAAGAATTTTGGTTTGTTTGCCTTGTTTTTAAAACTAAGCCACATGATTTCAAATACTGTGGACAGACTGACAGCAACTTGGTGGGTGAATCTGGAGCACATCTCAGTGCAGTGGGAATGTCCAGGAGAGCAGTTGGGCTCTGAAGTGCTGTCATGGGAAAGTGTGAGAAGTCACCCCTTTTTTGGTCCATGGTAAACTTGTTGGACTTCATTTGCTTTAGGGACATTTTGTGACTTCTCTGATATCATCTGTTCCAGGATCAGGCTCCTCAGGTGGCGTTTTCCCATGAACAACTGCATGCTTTCTGGCTGGGTTAGCAGGTGACAGGTGTTTGCTGATCTTGATCTAGGTTGTAATTGATGTACTTTTTTGTTGGTTATTCTAGCATGCAAAAATAGCATGCAAAAAACACATTGCAGTACTTGGATCACCTCAGCCTCCATATAAATCTTCAGGTAACTCCTCTATCCTAAAGAAAATAGGAGAGATTTCAGGGAAGAAGTGATGACTTGGATGATGACTTAGGGGTTTCTGTTTGACCAGGCCTGTCAAGCACCAGGAAAGAAAAATGTTGGTGATGGTGTGAGCTATCCCAGAAACTCATCCTAAAGAGCACCAGTCTGTCCTTTGGTTCTTTTTTATGGGATGGATGCTTGTGTAGACCAAAGCTTACCCACCATCAGGTAAAATCGTAGCTGCTCTGTAATTAAGCTTATCATGGACAAATCCACAAAATAACACTAGCTTCAGAAGTGGCCCCAAATGTCCCACAGCGTCTGTGTGTTGTGCTACAAGTAACATTTGCAAGAGAAATGTGGAGTATTGTATGTCATGTACTGTCTGTGACAATGTAGGAGTTCTGGAGTTGTGTTAGGGCACTGTTACAGGTGTCCCGGGGTTAGAAAAGCAACTTCCTGTTGATGATGTATGCATTTTAGAAACAGGTACTGTATTCAAGCTTACCCAAATGAATTTGCTTCTCTACAGGCAACATGGTGGAATGGTGTTTACCCCAAGATATAGATTTGGAAGGTGTGGAATTCAAATCCATGGCAAGTGGGTCCCACAAAATCCAGTCAGATTTCATGTGAGTACATCTGAGCTATATAACTTCTTCCTTTCTTAGTTGTGTGTCTTAATTCATAACATGCAAGAAAAATACCTTCTAGGTATTTTTCTTTCTAGGAAGCTAGGGTCCTGCAGAAACTGGCTTGCTAAGCTTTCTACCTGCCAAAGATACTTTTCAGACACTTTCAGTATCATGTTAAGTACCAGCTAGCTGCAGGGATCTGCTGTATGACTGCTTTGCCTGTGGAGACCAACTGGGGCAGGCCAGCTTCTCACTGGTGAGCAAATTTTAATGTGTACTGGGCAAATGACCTGCACTGCCACTATAGAGACTGTCAGCAGAGGCCTAGAGTGAAGGGCAAGGAATGGCAGAACTGAAATGGGAAGGATTTTGCAGGAACAGGACTTAGAAAAATGTTCTTAACTCTGACAGAACTTTTGGTTCCTTTAAATGTTGTTATAAACAGGTCTCACTCGCTTTCTTCTTTGCTAGTTCCTTCAGTGGAAACACGTAAGAGAGAAATTTTCTGCATTCTGCTAACCCCATGTTGCAATGCAGCAATGTTTTGCAATGAACTGCAGTGTCACAATTCCTTTTGCTCAGGAATAACAGTTACTTTCTTAAAGGCACGTGAACTGAACTCTTGCAGTCTGATAATCAGTGTTCTTCAACCCAAAATATGACCAGGTAGCTGTACTGTACTCAGAACTGCATTCACTGCAGGCTTCTTCCTTGGAGGAAGGGCTCTACACTGACTGAATTATGTGTTCTGTTGGTCTTCCTTCCAAGTTACTTATTTTATACCTACTGGCCTGTGACATGGCTGGTAGGGGCTTTAGTGGGAACTCCTGGGAACTCTTGCCTTAAATATTTTGTCTTGCTACTCAGAAGACTGGGGCACCCAAGGCCTGTCCTTAGCCCTTCAGTTAGCAGGGTGGTATTTCAGAGAGCTCCTTACAGAAAAAAATATATTCTCAAATCAGCAATTTTAGCCCCCAGTTACCTTTCTTCTTCTTTCTTCTTTTTAACATTAACCCTTCTGTCCAACCTTTGTCTGCAGTTATTTCCGGAAAGGGCTCTGCTTTGGCCTGGCCTGCTTTGCCAACATGCCTGTGGAGAGTGAGTTAGAGCGTGGTGCCCGCATGAAGTCCGTGGGCATCCTCTCCCCTTCCTACACACTGCTGTATAGGTACATGCACTTCCTGGAGAACCAGGTCAGGTAAGTTCCCTTGGGAATGAGCCTGGCCATTCCCCACGTGGGAGAGGTTATGTTCCTTCTATAGAGAGCAGTTTTAGGCAAGTGAGAATTCAGTGACAATGCTCTGCTGTGATTTCCTTGACTGGCTATTTCTCCACAAAGTATTACAGGTTCACAGTGTGAAGGAGACAAGGAACTGATTAGCAGCAGTCTGTTGCTTCCTTAACAGGCTAGTCAAATGATACCCAAACCCTGGTTATTGTAGGCAGACATAGATGTCACAGGGAGAGTTGAGAGAACAAGTAGTTCCCCTTTTCTCCTTCTGAAAACCATTTTACTAGGGGTTTACAAAAGGCTTCTAACTGTGTAATGGTGCTCCTGGCTAGTTGTGCGCTTCAGTTGTGTTGAGTGGATCTAGCAGCAAAAATGGTGATGGTAGAAAACTGTTCCTACCTGAGTGTATTTAAAACAGGACAAGTGCTATGCACACCCCAGCTCACTGCCTGTGTCAGCATGTGTGTGTTCTCTGGCTGCACTGAGAGCTGGTAGTCCTGATGTTTCTTCAGCCCTCCTGGATGAATCTGTGCAACTGAAGCACCCAGGATCCCTTTTAGCTGGGAGAACAGATGTTTGCTGGGGGCAAGGCACTAAACAAATAGTCTGGAGATACTACAGATCTCCCCTTTTTTCCTTTCTTTTCCAGACACCAGCTGGAAATGCCAGGGCACTACTCCCATCTAGAGGCATTCTATGATGACAAGAAAGGAGTTCTTCCTGATAGCAAGGGCACCCCCAGCTCTCAGCAACCTGTCCACTGGCTGCCTTCTATCCACAGATACATGTACCCAGAGATGAAGGTGAGACAGGTGCCTGAGGCCTGCAGGAAAGAGCAGAGGGCTGCTGCTCCTTGCTGGTGCCTCATACTCCTTTATGTAAGCAGTCACTCCCGCGCTTTGTAGGCTGCTTAGATAAGATTTTGTTACTTGGACCGTTGCAAGCTGTGTGCTGGTCTTGCTTGCACATTTAGCCTTAGCATCTGTGCATGTGTCCCTGTTTCACCTCTAAGCTGTTTTCTTCCCTTTCGCTCCACCTGCAGATCACACACCCTGCTGGCTGTATGTCTCAGTTCATCAAATTCTTTGGTGAGCAGATCCTCGTCCTCTGGAAGTTTGCCCTGCTGCGCAAGCGCATACTGATATTTTCACCACCCCCAGTTGGAGTTGTCTGCTATAGAGGTATGTTTCCAGGGACACTGCAGAGCTCTGATCTAGTAGGCTGAAGCATTGCAGAAATTGCCTGCAAGTACTGCGGGGACAGACGTCATGCAGGTCTTCAAAATCCATTGTGACCATGCCTCATGAAGACACCACTCAGTCTGCATTTACACGTTTCCTACCAAATGCTTTTCTTCAGGCCTTGTGAGTAAGGACACATCTGGCACTGTCAAACTCAGTTCCTGTCAGCACAGGACAATAAGAGCACTGACTGAATTTGTGGATTCTAGAATGTGGGATTCCTATGGGAGAACTCATTATTTCCTATGCAAAACAAGATGTCATCACTTGAGAAGTTCTGATGTTTAAGGGCATTTCAGAGCTCTGACCATTGTTTTCATAGAGGCCTGTGGGAGAACTGGGCATTTGGGGTTCAGAGTGCCCTTGAGGGAAACCAAAAGCATCTCAGGATGTACTTGTCTTGTCTACAGTGTATTGCTGCTGTTGCCTTGCAAATGTTTCTCTGCCTGGTCTTGGAGGAACTGTCCCAGAGTCCAAACCATTCTTCTATGTGAATGTGGCAGACATAGAAATGCTGGAGACAGAAGTATCATACGTGGCCTGTAAGTATGATGGATTAGGCGTGATGTTTTTAGCTTCAGGCTGCAAAATGTCTTGAGACACCAGACTGTGGAATAGAACTGATGAGAAATAGGTTGTGCATGGAATGACTAACTATGCAAGCAGGAGAGAACAGTCAGTCTGCTGGGAAAGCAACATGCTGCTCTGAAAATCTTCTCTGGTTTTGGCAGGTACAACAGAAAAGATCTTTGAGCAGAAACGGGATCTCTATGATGTCTATGTGGACAACCAGAATGTGAAGACGCATCACGAACATCTGCAACCGCTCCTGAAAATTAACAATGCTGACAAGGAGAAGTACCGACGGCTCAATGACCAAAGGTAATCACAGACGTCTGGGTGCTCCTGATAGGAGATGTGGAATAAAGAGGACACTGCTCCTTTGTACTTTCCTCCTTGTAGTATTTTCAAAATATCCCACTAGTTCAGCTCATCTCTTGAAGATTCTGGTCGTCTCATAAAGCTTTGAGGTTCACAGTACGTATGTGCAATTAACTTGTCTCCCTTCTCTCAGGCAGATGTTAATGTATTCTCAAGAAGTGGGTGAGGATTGCAGCTCCTGTGAAGAGGACCTTTTTATCTTGTGAGTGGCTACCTCTAATACTTCGTTGGACACTGCTAGTTTTAGGGAGCCTCTTGCACTGATTTTGTGTTGCACTGTTTGGCATATTATGAAGCAGCATGTTTGACATAATTCCATAGTTAGCTTTCTTCCTCTAGGGTTCCAAAAACAGATTTGTTCTTCTTCAGATCATCTTCCTTTCGAGAAGCCAAAACATAGTATCCACTGGGGTCACTTATGTGCCAGAAGGGAGAAGTGAATGTTAGAAACACAATGGGAGATGTAAGAATGCCCTCGCAAACATAAGCACTATTGCCAGAACATTTGGCTCTGGAAAGGACAGTGTTCATGGAAAGCAGGCACTGTTCTGTACTGGGGGTTGGTACAGTGTGGAGATCAGACCTGCATGTGAAGAAGTGGCCCACTGATGTGGCTGACTTCATACCTGGCAAACAGAGGAACCAGAACTGGGTGTAGAGTGGGAGGTACAGAATTAGATAAAAACCACATGCCTACCACCTCTGAAGCCCTTCTCTGCCTGTTGCTATTCACACTCTGCAGCAAGTGAGAATTAATGGGATGAAACTGTGTGAAGGGCTGTGGGGGCAGAGCTCTGATTGTTGAGCTTCACAGGTGTAGCGAAACCTCTTTTTGAGTAGCTTTGCATGTTTCTAGAAAAGCAACAGGTAAGAAGTAGCTCTCACTGGTGTGTTCTGCACCAGTAATGGAGAATTTATTTATTTACTCATTGGTTTATCAGATGGGTGACACTGTTTCCTCCTTTACATTATGGGAGCTGTAGGTGTGATGTACCTGCTTGGTGACCACAGAACACACTTTAGCTGATAATGTGGCTTCTTCTGAGGGAAATGCCACCCACAGATGGGAGCACCGCTGTCAATTAACAGTTACTGCTTTATCTTTGTTTATTCTGGGTCACCAAAGAGAGAATGGAAAAGTACTACAGCACCACCTAACAAGGTGGGATCTCTGGCTTGAGGGGGTTAAATGCAGTTCTGGGGCTCTGCTGCCTGTTTGGTAAAGACGCTGTCTTTTTGGAGAGTGTGTGCAATCCCTTTTGCTGACTTTTCCCTATAGGTTTTTCATGGAGCAGAACAACCGCATATTCCAGACACTGATGGAGGTGTCAGCCAGCCAGGACAAGACACTGACAGCTGACCACGCACGAGGCATGGGCCTGGATCCCCAAGGGGATCGAAGTTTCCTTATGGACCTCCTGGAAGTGTATGGCATTGATGTTATGCTAGTCATTGACAACCCCTGCTGCACTTAAACCAAGGGCAACAGAGATGGGGAGCAAAGATCACTTTTTAAAGACTACCAGACATTGCTTAGGAGGATCACTGGAACTCACCACAGCCACAGTTATTTAATAACTTTATATGGAGAGTATTTATAATTTTAAAACAAAATGTGATTTTATTTTCTCACACTCAACTTCCCAGTGAGTACCTGCTCTAAGGTTCCTTTTGGTTTTGTCTCCCTTTCCCTTTCATTTGTGTTTTTTTGTTTTGTTTAGCTAGGACCAGTGGCACCTTTGCACCAAACCTCACTGTTGCCAGTGATAGCTAGGTTTTGGCCCGGCCTGGGTACCTGAGGGCTGAAGACTTCAGGAAAGCACTTTGTTTGATGACAACCAATGTGAAATGCTATAGCTGAGCTTTCAGACTTATCTGGAAAATCCTCCTATCAACTGCCCCTTCCACTTGGGGACTGAAGAGGGCTTTAGCACAAGCTGTTAATGGCCCAATCTCATAAATAGCTCCTACCAAGTTTATTGGTGGGAACAGTTAAACCAATGATAACAACCAGGACTCCTTTAAACACTCCTCACGCAACTTTTAGGTGAATTGGAGTCAAGCCACCCTTCCTTGTAAATGCCAGAAGCAAGTTTGGGATTGGGGATGCTACAGGATCTTGACTTTGCTTACCAGAGCAGCATGGTTTCACTTTCAGCATCTGAGGTGGTCTAAACTGGCAGAGACTGCACCTACCTATCTCATAGCTGGAGAAGAGCACCCACCCTCCTCAATCCATCCCACCACCACCTTCGGCTTTTAGTTGCATCACATCTGCTGCTTTAGTTTAAAATCTTCAAACCAGCAAGATGGTCTCCCATTTAACAAGGACCAACACCACTGAGCCACTTTGCAGTCACTGTTGTCCAGCCTCAGCTCAGATGGTACTGGGCTGGAGGGGGTAGAATAAGTATGCTTTAACTAACGTCACTAGCCCTTCCTTTGTAGCTGATGGGACTTGTTGCTCCTTTGCTTTAATACTGTCTGCTAATCCTCCTTTTGTTGAGCCTTCAGCACTGCCTGCTGCTATCCCTGGCTTTCTGTGTGAGACAGAGAACAGACCTTTCAGCAGGAACAACTGAAGTTTGCAGGAGGCTCCCTTGGAGTTTGGTATTCTTACCTGGCACAGCTGCTAGGAGCAATGTTTAAAAGCAAGTCTGTCTTTTTTTCTGGGCAGAGTTGTAGAACCAGATGAAACAGATGTTTTCTTATGCTGTTGAAAGAACAGGATTCAGTTCCTGAAGTTCCTCCAAGAAGGCCATCCCAGTAAAGAATAATCCCTTTGCCATACAAAATCCAGGAATGCTACTGTGGGTTCTATGTGTGACATACAGCTTTGCTCCAAATCCTTCAGCTAGTCGCAATATCAGCTTTCAGCTGACTGTTCTTCCTGAACTGTGGCTATAGCTGATTAGTTGCTGCTTCTATCATTACAGATTTCAGCACCCTTGGAGGCTTTCTGTGCACTGTGGGAATGCAGACTGTAGCTGATGTATCCATTTGTCCTAGCATTTTATAGCATGAGACAGAACCTGAACCACCGAGATCTCACCCACTCTAAAGCAGGCAAGCACGTTTTTGAAACAGGTGAAGCAAATGTTCTCCAAGCATACCCTCTGTGGATTGTCTTCCTCTGGAAAGGGGGAGGCAGTTGTTCCTGCAATTTGCCTTTCTCTGAGCTGTCACTCCCCTAGCAGCTTTTTCAAGCTGCTTTTTCAGGGCTTTTTCAAGGCTTTGGGATGTTTTTGTACAGAAGAAAATATGCAGTTGTTCATACTGTCAATTGCTCACAATAACTGTAACACCATCCTTAGAAGATTGGGGAAAAAAATGGAGAAAGAGGTAAAAACAGCTGAGTGTCATGTAATGGAAAGACCAGTCTCTTCTCCTTAAGAAATGGCTTTGTTTTTAAATTGACACCTGACGTGTAAAAGTGGCCCACAACCTCCACACTTTTTTTCTCTAACTTCCACTTGTTTTACATGCTGTCTGCAGTGACGATCCTTGAGGAAGTACAGCTGAACTACCCTTGTATTGCTGTCACTTCTTCAGACATCAAAAGAAAAAAAAAAAACCAGAACTGAAACTAGTCACAAGCAATTTCTCCTCTCACTTTCTTGAAGGTTTGCTACATAGTTTAGCTGTGGTCAATTGTTAATGACTTTCTATTTTCTTTGCCTTTTGCTAAACTAAACAGAAACAAACCTTTGATTTAATGTTGAAATTTTACAGTCACTGCAGTGAGAGGCTTTCTAACACCCTGCATTAGAGCACTGTTGTTTACAAACTGTTGGAACATGAGGTCTGGTAGACTGCACTGACATAGCCCACTGAGCAGAAGCTCCTGAAATTCCTATTTGATTTATTAAAAGTCTGCTTTCCAGAAATCAGGTCCTCAGTTCCTAGCAGTAGTATGGGTGCAGAAGTATCAAAGCAAGCAGATTACTGTAGCAGCATGCATGTGCTACCAGTTGGATGGTTGCAGCCTATCTTATTCTTCCTTGTAATTTTGTTCTTCCTTGTGATTTTGCTTCTCTATCAAGGCTCTCTTGGCAGGCAACAGCTACAAAAGTCAGGAAGCTGTCCAACAGAAGACAGAACAAGAAGACTCTTCTCTCCTAACCCCTTCCTTATTTGATTAGCTGCTGAAGTGCTTTCACCTGCACTCCTTTTCTAAAAGATAGCACTTTTATTTTTGTCACATGTGGAAAGTTCTTAAGAAATGGGTAATGGGTACATCATAGAAACAAATTGTTATAGCTTGGGACATGAAGGGCTGTTCTGTGGAACCAGTTTAACTGAGTCTTATCTTTCCAGAAGATACCATAATTCAAGGTAAAACAGTTATGTACAGATATTCTAAATCCTCTCCTGGACACTCAACTGGTGCTTTGTTGCATAGTAGCAGCTGGGAGACATCTACTGGGTATGTTTTGAATCAAAAGAGGGAGGGAAATGTGGTATAAGATAGGATATTGCTGATTTGTCTTCTCCCTTTGCCTTTACAGTGGTGCCTTCAGTTTCTTGGGTGTAATGCCTCTGGTCAGTTGCTGTGATCAGAGCCCAGGTTTGAATGGTTACGGTAACCAGGTCTATCCTGTGCCCCTGTGTATTTTCCAAAACTCAAATTGTTGGATAGCCAGTGCAGGTTCTCAGCTTGTACTTGCTTGACTTGAACCAGGAGAACAAGAACTTCCTAACTGCATCTTAACTCAAGCTGCACTAGAAATGTATAATCAAGCAATGAATTATTACTACTTGTACTGTCTGCATTGAAGGGTAAAGCTTATGAGAGACATAAAAGCTTGATTTTCAATCTGAACAAGCAACACCATGCCAGACATCTAAATCATCCAAAAGTCTTCTCACTGCAAGGTTAGGCCAAACTGCATAGCGCCAATAAAGAACTATAATGGATATTAGGAGAAAGGCACTTTATGGAATCAGAATTCAGATTTGTCTTACAGACATGCCACTACCTTCTTTTCTAGCATACATGAGGTACTTACTGCAGTGTATGTTACAGCCAGTGGTCATGACTGTCACAGGAGCTGAGCTTGTGTGTTCACCATCCTTTTGGGCAGAAGAAAGTTCAGTCACCTTTTCAAAAGGCAGTAGTTCCCTGTACAGGTTATTTAGTAAAGCAGGGTTATGGAGATTGCCCATTTTAACACCTGTCAAAGTTAATAAGCAAAAGGCTGGGAGTAGCTGTGGCCCTCCTGGCCACAGACTGTGCAAGGGACAGGCATGCTTTGCTCGGGGAGGTGGAAAACAGTGGCTCCTGGAATAGCAGGGTAAGAGCACTCTATCCTAAAGCAGAATTCTAGGTAAAAAGCATATACATTAACCCAAACTCTCATCCTAGCCATTACTTCTAAGTTAGATGCTGTCTTCTTCCCACCTTCCCAAAACCAGTGGTGTAGTAATTATGAGAAAGGACAACACAAATGTCTTTTACAAGGGACTGAAATGTATTGACTTAACAGTGTGATCTGTCTAAAACTGAGGGTACTAAATGCCTATGAACCAGGATTTTAGATCTTGGTTAATGCAACATGTCATTCAAATGGGAATGTTTAAATGTGGTCAAAATAAACAGGTGCCTTGAGCTGGTCCATGATTAGATTGTTATCCCTCCTTTTTATTTATGTTACAGTATTTTAGAATGGATTGTAAGTTGAAGCCAGGATAAGTGCTTTCGTGAGTGGGACATAAGATTCTACTCCTCCTTCCTGTCTTGGAGTTTGTACAAAGGAAGATTTTTGTGTTGCTGTCAGACAGAAACATAAGAACTAAGTCCTTTCCTCAACACTTCAGATAGTGGGTTCAGCCCCTGCCTATTTTATGTAGTGTCTATCTCACACCTCCCTTCTCAATGTTGCAATTCAGAGGTCTAGAATTACCCTATATTGGAAGAACTCTGAACTGCATAGGAAGGAGAAAAACTACTTGAATGGTATTTGTACAAGCTACTCAACTTATGCTGATATGAATATTTATATACCAGCCTCTGTCCCAGATGATGCCTTGGTACTTCAACATCAGAACAGCATCAGCAATACCAATTCTGAAGGGATCTCTTGGTTACCCTCAAGCAAGGAATTACATTGCAATGGGAGCTATGGAAGAGAACTAGTGATTTTCGCTGTAAAATGGTACAGATGAACAAGGAGCCAGTTCTCACCACCTTACCCCTTGCAACAAGCTGGGTGTAATTCTAACAGCTCTGATGTTGTTTGCATCTTGCAGATGTGTGGTTGCTCCCATAGGCCTGTGGCTCTGTAGAGAAAATGCTTACTAAAAACATGGGTATTTTTTAATACAATTAAAGCTTACCTTTTTGAAATGGCTGTTGCCTTGTCTTTCCTGCCACTGGAGAAAAAATGCATTGCTGATTTTATTACAGAAACATCAACTTGAGCGAAAACTTAAATGGTGAGAACTGCCTTTGACTCTGAATGAGCCAGGGGCTGCAGAGCAATGTCCAGGTGTCTCTGTGGCAAGCAAAAAGAGCAAAGCACAACCACAATGTTCCTTGGAGAGTGACCCAGGGCTCCACTGAGCACTCTTCATTACTGCAAACCAAAAGACAGCACAAACCAGGTCCTATCGCCAGCATTAACTATGAAATGGAACTAACAGGCTTCTATTCCCTTCAGTCTCAGTCAAGAGTTACAGAGCAGCTAGGGCTGGAAGGGACTTTAAAGACCACCCAGTTTAGGTACTTCGTGTCTCTACACTGTAATCCAGGGAAGAACATTCAGCTTGGTTTCACCATCATGCAGAAACCCAACCTGCTTCCACTTTGAAGGCATTTTTCCTTTAAGATGTCTCCAGCAGAGGATGCTGTTGGAGCACAGGCTGCCAGGATTCAGTCCTGGACAGAGCTGCTGGAAGCCAACTTAGGTCTGTATTTTGATAACAGCAGAGAGTCAACAAATTAACTTGGACTAGACCACAGTGTAACACATTGACTACAGACAATCACATCAGAAAAATAAGGATAATTTTCTTTCTTCCAGTAAGCAAGGCAGAATCATGTGAATTTCTAAGTTAGAATAAGGGCAACAGATAAGCTTGCCTAAGTCAGTAATACTTCCTTTCAGCAATTAAAGCAAAGCTATAAATAAAAGCTCATAAAAGCAACAAAATAATTATGGTACTGAGGCTCAAGTGGATGGAGGTTGCATATGGAGTGGAGAGCACTCTTTACATTAAAGAAGAGCAATCAGACACAATAAATAACAAACTTTATTTGGATATCCTTACTGGCATTATACTACTGCAGGAATAAAAGGAATACTTACCAAACAAAAAAAAAAAAAAAAAAAAGATTCAGCTTTTTAAAGAGTCTTTCCAAATGTACTTCATACAGCTTTGGGTCAATGATGTTTTCCAATTTGCTTCTGTGCAACATACCTAAATTGCTCAAAGGAATACATTTCTACTATACAATTACTGAAACTCTGTGCTGTTGAATCTGGCAAGACGAAAAAAATTAACATAAATATATTACCAAGGTACATATGGGGAATTTTTAAACTTGCTTCAAAGCTTTGTATCACCAACCTTCAGTTTATTTTGTGACAGAGTAGATAACCAACCATCTGTTTTAATGTGGCAATTCCAATGTTTCATAGAATTCCTTAGCATTACTCCCCCCAAATATTTTCTTCCAGGATCCCAGGTTTTGCAAGATTTTTACATGGGTAATGTAAACCTAAACTCTTAGAACACAAGGACAAGTATACTTAAATTTTACTTTAATATACAATCGCATTGCAGCAGTAGCATGTGGCACACAGCACTCAGCCTGTAGTGCTATAAATGGATGACTTCTTAGGGGAGGGGGAAAAAAAGATGCCATCAAGTTAACATGCATTTTTCAGAATTTTCATTTGCATTTTTAACCCCTTTGAGACCAGTCAAATGATACACTTCCAATGGAAGTACGTCACACATAAAAATAGCCAAAAGGCTTATTAGTCTAGTGGGGTTAATCAGGTTAGTTAGGTCTCATGTGCCTTGAGAGACCCTGGTAAGACTGGTGAACACTGCCCCTCTGCCATGAACTCTCATTGCACTGCTGCCTGCAGCAGCTGCTCTCTCATTCTGGGGTCACAGAAGAAGCGGAGTTTGCGGGGTAAGAGCTTCACCTCCACAGGCATAGCTTCATACTCCTCATTATCAATGCCAAAGGATCCCTCAGTGCCCTGTGTGCAGTGACAGTTAAACATTAAACGTTACTTCAGCAAGGCTGTAATGCTGATTTTACTAATAAAACACAGTTGCATACTTAGCTCAGTCTCAACCAAGATGACCCCCTGCCTCTGCCTTCCAGCCCATTTTCTCTCCACGACACAGGGAGACCTATCCTTCACCGCACAGAATGTATTAAGAATCTGGTGCATGAGATGTTACCTCACTTAGTTACTAATTAGTGATAATTAAATGCTAGGAAGCTCTAATGACCCACATTGTTTATACTGAAGGATTCTTTTCTATTGGAACTACAATTATGTGCAGTTAGATCTTGGCTCTGCCAGTGGTGACATAAACTAATCTGCAGAAATGCCTGTTAAGTAACTTCTATTAAATCCATGTCATAAACCCCTTTCAGCATTGTTTTACTGTATTGATCTGAAACATGAGATGAAAAGTAATTTACTGGCCAGGAATTACTCAGCAGTAGAATTTTCTCAAGTGTTTAATGCTGATAAAGTCACCATGTGATTAAAACCATTCATCAAAATGGCAGGCTGACTTTACCTAAAAATAACTTCAGTGACTGCTTTGTGTGTCCTTGACTCACAGGAGGGCTGTGCTACGTGGGTACTCAAACCAGCTCCGAGGAAACTGGGACACCAGAGCAGCACAGACTAGAGGAACCAGTACAAGTTCTGGCAGTCAGACATACAGCAAAGCAGTCCACCTCCATCAACATCAACTGGTGAGACTCATCTGGGCTGCCTCCAGTTCCTTCACTGGAGCTGGGCCATGGAGTTGAACTGCTCTGTACCATGCACCCATGTTCTGAAGATCTTAGCAGCAGCTGCAGTATGAACAGCTTATTTTATACCACAACCCTGACTTAAGCTGTACTTAGCCCAGCACTGCAGAGTAGTCTTTCAGAATCACAAATTTATCACAATGAATTCAGTGGAAGCATTAGGATGCTGGTTAATCATGACATCATAATTCATGATTTTTATGTGGTAGCAACAGATTTTTTTGCCTTTGAACACATTCTTTATCCCTTAATATGGAATTATTTTGCCAAATGACAGATCACTTGAAAACCGAAATTATCTAGGAGATTGATTAATGTCCTTGTAAAAACAAGAAACTGTCTTCCCAGGGCCACAATAACAGCTCACAGGCAGGAAAAGATGAATCTAAATCACACAGGCAGGCACAGTCTTCTTTCTCAGCTTCATCATTTCAAAGTTTTGGGTCACTTGTTTATACAGATCTCAGCTCCCCTGCCCTGCCTTACCCTCCTTTCTCTCTAATATTTATCTTCTTCTCTACAGCACAATGCCTTCTAGGGCAAAATGTACACATCTTCAGTGCTAAGGAAAAGAAGATCTGCATATCACAGCATCACAGAATGTTTGAATCAACAGTAGATCATCCAACCTCCCTGCTGAACAGTGGAGTCCAACCTCCCTGTTCAAGCAGGGTCAGCCCAGAGCACATTGCACAGGATTGTGTCCAGATGATACTTAAGTATCTCCAGTGAGGGAGACTCCACAACCTCTCTGTGCAGTCTGTTTCAGTGCCTGTTTATCTGCACAGTAAAGAATTTCTTCCTAGTGTTCAGGTGGAACTTCCATTCGTATGCAATACACTCAAGAGACCCTTTAACCACCACAACTGTCTTCATAAAATATCTGCCACTATTTCGTGGCAGAACAAAGTCCCCCATCAGGTTTACAGACTACCTGGGGAACTTCAGTATGTCTGTCCTGACAGGGGACTCATTGGCTGCACTGTGGAGCTGAGTGTCTCACTTGCTGTGTAATCAATCTCCCAGATTTAAAGTAGGAATTTCTTAAAGTGCAGCATCAACAGGTACAAGAAACAAAGTGAAAGACTTTTTCAGATCTCTCAGCTTCTCACCTCTGGAAGTTGCAAGATGCATCTGCTGGCTTGGATGCACTGACTCCCTTCAGGACACATGTGTGGGTCATGCATCTTTTGACTTCTGTCCAAACCAAAACAGAGGTAAGGTTAGGACATGCTTCTCTCAGAAACAGCCTACTTCAGGGATGGCATTTTGTTGTGGTAAATCACTATGCATTTGATAAACTTAGAGGTTATATACACAAATACTTGTGGATTTAACTGTGAAAAAGTAAAAAAGTCCTTCCCTCTTCTGCTGCAGTCAATGCAAATCATAATGTACCAACAGCCTCCAATGAGCTTCTGCTCTGAGGCTTACTAATTATATTTGAACAATGAGCAGAGTTTTGTGCTCTTCGCTTCCATGCTGAACTGGGAACTTCCTGCAGTGACTACCATCTCCTCATATCTCATGCAACTAAACTTACCAGCAACCTAAAAGATCTAAGCCAAAAAAAGATAGAATTATAGTTACATTGAACCATTAAATTACTACCTAAAAACAAACAAAACCCTCACTTTTTTCATATCAAAACCAATCAGCATAACATTTCTTATCAGCTGCTTCTGTTATTACTCCTGAAGAAACCCCCATAATTTTATCCATTCCAAATAACATATCCAGTTTTGACAGTTTCTCTCTTCTGGTACCTGTGAGATTCTTATTTATGTACTGTACTTAGATAAGTGCTGCTTCCTTTCCTACTTCTGCTGATAACAAAAGGGACCACATGGAATGCAGTTTCCTGTCATGGAAAGCTGGTGTTGCAAGTGTCACATGGTCTTTTTCAAGGCTTAGGCTGCTGTCCTGTCACTGTCTCAGCTGTTAGAGAACAGCAAGTTGTGATTCCTTTTCCCCACAAGTGCTGCTGCAGAGTGAGCACAAGCTCTGGGCTGTGCTGACCTTCCTCTGGCCTCCTGACTGACTACAAAAGTAACCTTTGACTGACCCCTGGCAAAGGGTACACTGCACCCCAGGCAGCAACCTCTCAGTGTGGGCCCCTCTCCAGACAGACAGCAACACACAAATAGCAAAGAGAACAGCACAGAATTACTGTGTTAATACACCACAACTCTCAAGCATGGTGGAATTATCACAGATATTTCTCTGACAGGCAATGCCCTACTGTCCCCAAATTTCCATCTCTAGACTGATATGAAAGAAAGGTGTATTTAAATATTGCCTAGGAAAAGAACTCACAAAAATAATGTCAGAATCTCCCTGTACACCAAATCTTCTATGCCCCGAGGAAGGCAGCACCTCTTAAGTCACAGAAAATCCCAGAGAAGGAACATGAGAAGAGAGGGTTGAAACAGGAGATGAAAATCAAAGACAAAGGAAGAAAAGCTAAGGAAAGGACAGGGAAGGATGGAAGCAATATTAACTGTGGAAACTTTGGTTTTAATCAAATATGTATACACTAAAAGATTGATGAGTGATTGTGAGGGAATTAAACATCCTCCAGCAATATAAATTATAAATCATTAATGGCATGCAATACTATCAGTTTATACAGTGCTGTACAAACAAGCAGCAAAATTCCTCACTTAAAGTTTAACCTGCTTGGAGTTTATCATACAAGGCATACTCTGATGAGCAAGCAGATTTTTTTGGCCAATGAAGACACATGAAGCTCTATAGAGATGTAATTGTGGGGTCAAGGTAAACTCAAAAGAGCCAAGACATGGAATTAATGATCAATCAAAGGAGAACACTGGTAGAAGCAAATAAGACACAACTTCACCTGCAGTGATTGCCCCTCTAGTGGTCCAGCAGAAAAAAAAAAATCATAATTCATTTCCCTTAGACTCTGGTCCTCACTCAAGACCAGACAGCAATGTGAAATAGGAACAAGATCTAACAGCAAGTTTCCATTGATTGTTGCATCCCACTCTATTCTGAAGCACAAAAATACAGGCAGAGAGAACCACAACACCTACTGCACATAACACACAACTGGAACATCATTTTCATATCCAGAAGCTGCCAGTGTTAAATGATTCAGAGTAAGACCTCTAATAAAAAACCCCAGTTTTGTGCACTGTGGATGATAACTGCAATCGTGCCCTGGAGTGACAGCTCTCCATATTTTCATATACAGAATCTAAATTGGCTACCAGGATGTGGATTACTGATGCCACACTTTCCATGCCTATTCTCCTTCCCTGCAGCACTTCTTAGTAACCACTCCATTGGAAACAACTGTTCTTCCCCCACCTTATCAAAACATCAGCTCTGTGGCTGCTGTGGATGCTCTTGTTCACACAGATCTGATCCACAGCGAGAGGCACTTTTATACATCTGGGATAATCTCTTCCTTTCTTGGAAATCAAACAGCAGCTGCCCTCCAGCACACTGATGTATCCCCACAACCCCCAAGACACACACACTGCCTGAGCCTCCATGGTAGTTTCCTGCTGGATGTATGGTTTTCTCTGTGTGACCCATCAGTTCTCATCAGCTCATGTCAGTGCCCTCTCCAATATAAAAACCCCTTGTTAATTGAACTGATAAGGTATTTCCTCTAAAAACCTTTTTCAACCCCCCAAATTCTGGTATTTAAACTATACACTAAAAAAAGAAGAAAAAAGAAAGAGCTGTTTCACATATTTCCAAAGACAAACCCTGCTGGTGCTAGGCAATGGGGGGGCCTCTGATAATGGGCTTAACTCAAATCCAGCTGGCAAAGGCACAGTGGGACCTCTGAACACCCTGATTCTGCCTTGAAAAAACAGGGCACCTTTTCTCTGCTCTGACTCCTTTCTGTACAACTAACCATCCCCTCCCACTGCTCCCCCACCCCCCACACTTCTCTTTGTCTTTGTTACCTACAGGCTTTTTGGCACTATTTAATCAAAAGAGCTTGTTTCTCTGAACTTTGCTTGAACAGCTCAAAGCTTTCAGTACTGCCTCTAATTAGCTCTCAACAGCAGGACTATGGTAATGCTCCTCAGAGGCTTTTTCTGCATGACACTGTAACTGCAGTCAGAAAATGTGCCACACTACTGCAGGAAGACATCCAGTCAACACAGGAGGTATTGTTTACACTGGGAATACACTTGAATATGCCTTCCTCGAGTCACACAAACACATCTACATTTTTCTGCCAGCAAAATGTTTGAGAACCCAGAATAACATCTCCTTTATCTATCTCCTTTACAAGATCAGATTCCTCTTGCATCTAATAGGAAAACTGCCTCCTCCTTTCCTTCTGTAGCCTTCAAAGCAAACGAATCAGTCCCAAGCAACAACAGATCACATGCTCATGCAATTTGAAAGCAGCTGCAGGTGGTAACCTGACTTACAGTGTATGCGTAGGTCAGAAGATTCTATTCCCACTGAGGCTCCTGGGAGGCTCAAATAAGGGGCCTGAGTTGCCATTAGTACCACAAACAAGTATCTTGCAGGAATTATTACAGTGATGACAAGCAGGTAAAACTGCACTGAAATCCTCACACTGATTTCACTAGAGGGAGCTCGAAGACTGAGAAAACAGCAAATAAAAGGTAATATGGAGAGGAGCTCCCCTGTATTTAGCAGGAAAATCTGTTGCTGGTAAAACCTGTACTGAAGACGTAATGTATTTGTGAGTGGGACTGTAAGAAGGAGCTGGAAAAGGCAGCTCTGATTTGCTTCTTGTAAGAGCAGGAGGAACAAGCACACTACAAGGCAACATCACAAGCACAAAGGAAGCAGTAACGTTCACTTTCTCCACACACTGCTTCTTCACACCTGCAGCCTTTCTTATTCCACATACAAGCAGGATGAATACATTTGTTTAAAGTCCCTGTTTAAATTCACATCTTCCAAAGTTCTTCCAGCTCAGACCTGATTTCTCACAAGAGCTATTGAGGCAAAGAAGAGACCCTCTTAGAGGAGGGCCTGTCTCATCACAGTTCAAGAATTCCCAGGTACCACTAGTACAAACAAACCAGCTCTGTGACCCACCTCTCAATCCATTGAGCAGCTAGGCCTAAAAGATTCTGGGCTAAATCTGCACAGCTGCCTATAAAACTCAGTAAGGACAGTGATATCCAAGCAGTACTGACTTACAGCAACAGGGGAAAAGATGAAAGGTATAGGAAACTCAGAAGCTATGAAGAACTCCAGGTTCTGAATACTCCAGGTTCTGGATTTCTGCCTTGTTTACAGAAACAGAAGATGAGTAAGAATTTTAAAGAACAGAAGTACTAGTCCCCGAGAAGCAGTACTGATTGGTGTGCTTTGCAGTCCTCTGCTTCTGAATCTTGCAGCACAGTATGAGAGAAAACCAGCACACTTTTCAGAGATCCTGCCCCCTTTTTGCAGCCTTCCCATACTCACCCTCTGTGAACAAACTCCCCTTTGCTGACACTCTCTGCTTCGATGCAAATGTCCATGAAGTCCTCAGTGCGCTGTGCAAAAAAGGATTCAGAAATCGAGCAGTTAACATTTGAAAATGCCACACCCATGATACTGCAATATGTTCACACAATGGCCAGTCCTTTGTCCCCCAAAAGGAGACAGAAGATGCATTTCTGCATTTCATGCTTTATTCAAATCTCAACTTGAGATTTGAATTAGAAATTACAGACAGTATTTTCCCATTAATGAGTATTCAATAAATACCACAAGAATCAAAATAATGAGTCACACGTTTGGCTTCTTGCTACATTTAAAGACAATAGCAGATCTCTTACGCTTACTTATTTATTTCTATTCAATGGGTGTTTCATGAATTTAAGCAATAGTACAATGATACAACATTTGGCCACCAAACACCACAGTAAGAGAATTTTAAACAATACAAATTGGAAATCAAAGTGTCCTTGGTAACAATTCTTTAAACTCCTCACTTAGTTTCTTTCCTATTTACAGCCTGCCCTTAAACTGAATATACAGTACAGCTTTTTCCAGGAAAGCAATTTTGATTAAGATGCAACTTATATTTTATGTATTTTAATATTTTTGTCGTGGCAAAAGTCGTAGTGTGCAGATGCAATCAAAATGACAAAAGTAAAAATAGATGCATCTATTAGTGTAACTTGGTTTAGTCCTTTGCTGTTCTGCAGAGGCACTGCCTGAGCTGCACCTGTATGGCTTTATCAGCTTCCCTTCAATGGGGCAGCCTCTGCATGATCTGAGGTGAGACACAGAGACAGGAGTGGCTGGCAGCAGTCAGCAGATATGGCCTGGTATTAATTCCAGAGAGCTGCTGGTCAGCTTTGAGGACTACAGGGACAATGGTTTCAAGAGAGGGACTTAAATGCAGTAATAAGGGATCCACACGTTTAGAAAAAGAGGTGCAGTATCAAGATATTTCCAACTCTAGGAACAGGAAAGTACAAGTGGTCTAACATGAACTTGTCCATTTCTCTAGGTTATGCAAGAGACCTGAGAACCCTACATCACTTCCTTCTTTTCAAAACCAGTATTAAAGTACATCTTGAACCACAGAAAGCGCATAAGGGAGTTTGTGGCAATCTGATACTTTTTCTGTTCTTGGTAGGTCTGTTTTTACTTTACATCACTGGCTCCCATCCAGTTCAACAACCAAAACTCTTCTGTTCAAGTGCCACCTAGAAACCACTAAAAAAAACCCCAAATACTAGTCTCTGTCTAGCTTCTACCATTACTAGGACACTGACAGTCCATATCATAACCCACAATGAAGAAGAAACTAAAGTTCATGGTGGTATATTCTAAGGAGAAACCAGGAGAACATTAAAAAAAGTAAATTTGCTTGTTTGGTTTCTTTTGGTCTGATCCTACAAGACAATGTATCAATATAACACACATTTTCATGTTCTTAAAGACCTGGATTCTAAGGAAGAAATATATTGCAGAAAGTTCAACACCTCCTGTTAACCTGGGTATAGTGGCAAGGGTTTCCTGTACCCACGAAGAGGAAATGCAGGGAAGCTCACGAGTATAGGATCACTGTGTAAGCATTTTCCTGTAAATTTAAAGACTGACTATCCAAATAGCATTCACAGCAGTAAAATTGCACCAAAACACAGGCATAAGCCAAAGAGAGGTTCTAAAACAGTGAATGAACAGCATGAACATGCTGAAAAGGTTATGACAGGAACAGTTCCTTTGATGCCGTGCTTCTATCCTTTCAACCACCTGCACTTCCTTTCCTTCAAATCAGTGTAGGCCCTGTCCTTTCCCTAGTACCAATTATTTTTAACTCCACTCTGCAAGTCTAAAAAAGAGAGACAAAAAAAAAATCCAGCCAGACACTCAGGCTCAGCTTCCTTTTAGCAGAAGTTCATAAAAGAGACTCTAACATAGAGAAAGGAATGCTTCTTGGTCCTTTTTTTACTCATGGGAAATCCTAAAACTTCTGTTTGGCTACTGAAACCTTGAACAAATTCTTTCTGATCCCACTGCATCCCAGTTTTACATTGGTCTCCTGTGCTTTCATACTGGATCTGAAACTTGCTCATTCCTGGATTCAGTCATGGACCTCTTCTTCCAAGAAGTAGTAAATGTTATTCATATAGAGCCAAGAATGGGAGTTTAGCAAGACAGGAAAACTCTGTGGGCAGGCAGCATTTGGAATCCAATTATGTTATGGTCTTACTGCTAGATCAAGCTGCCTGTTCCGAGTTGCAATGGAAAGCTCAATGGTGGACAGCTTCAGTTCTTCCCAGTCCTCTCGGGCTACCTCCTGGGGGAACTCTGTGCATCAGGAAGAGAAGGTACCAGTCATTAAATGGCATTTAATTACACAGATCACTATGAAGCAGATGCCAGACACAAAAATCAGTCTGAGCCATTCTGGCCACTAGTTTTGTTTCTCAAGATGTCAAAATCTTAAAAAAATTAAAAGGTAGCTTAGGAGTACTGAAGAAAAGAAAAAATACCATCAGCATTTACACAGTACCAGAAAAGACTGTCAAGCACAGTACATCACAGCCACATGAGTCCTTATGTCCAGGGATTAACAGATCTCCTGGGCTAGTGGCAAGAACATTGAGAAAACCCATGAAATACTAATACCAAAAAAACAGGAATCTGATGTTCAGGAGGCTGTGGTAACACATTTTCTACAGCAGGCAGCTCCACAGTTCAGATCTCATATCCAGGTCACCTGGTTCATGTTCATGCATGAATCACCTCTGCTAGCCAAGGAGGGACAAGGTCTTAGCAGCAGGCTGTGCAAAATACCCACTCTCCTTCCTCCTGCGGCCTGCCATGTGCACTGCCCAGACAACAGCCCAAGCCAAGAGAGGCTCAGAGAACACAAAGTTTATGGTACAGAAAGAATTTAACATACCAAGAGAAATTTAGGCCTGGCCCAATTGGTACTGTTCTATTTAAAGTCACATTTGTTGCTCTGTGTTAGCAACTCTCCCCGCCCTGGAAAAACAAGGGCTGCTCCTCTCTGCCCAGCTCACTAAGAAGCCATTCTGCTGGAAGAAGATTTCAAGAAGTTCACCCAGAAGTGCCAAGTATCCTCAATGCATACCTCCACTGCAAAGGCAACTGTGAGTCCAGGGAATACCCTGGGTTCTCTACAAGTGAGTATTTGCTTATGAGACCACAAACACAGGCAGGACTACTCTGTTCCATTTCTGACAGATGTCACTACAACCGTCTTGACAAAAATCACAGTTTACATAAATTTTAAAAGGAAACAAGAAAAAACCAAAACAGTAACAGAAAAGAGAGCAGTGAAGTAGGCATGCCCTCCACAAAACACACCCCCAGATCTGTTAGAGGAGTAGAGTCTGCATGTGAGTTTATGCCAGAACACATCCAGCCCACCTTTTGGAGATGACCAGTATGATCGAAGTCGTCTGTAAAGCCTCACATACAAAGGAGGTCTGGATGATTTCTCCTCTGGCTCTTCTGGTGGTCTCTCAGTTGGACCCAGGTACATGAGAGCAGCTTGATGTTTCTGAGGCCACTCCTTGGATTTAAATGGAAAGAAAAGACAGAACATAAAGGGCATTTTGTTTAGGGCATTTCCTGTTTATTCTGTTTAATCCTGTAGCCTATTTCTTGTGTCACATAGTCCTGTAGAGCTACTCAGACCCCCGCCACTACCTCAGCCTACGTTATGGCTCTCCAGTCTCCAGGTTCATTGGTGAGATGACATTTCTGCAGTTTCAAAAAGATTACCCACAGTTCCCAAATCCACTATTCTAATCCTTCCCTGCACAGAAGTGAGGGCATTTTCTCCTCTATGGACAGAGAGTGAAGGGATGTTTCCTTTGTTGCTGATGTGTGGCAGGGTGATACAGCTGCTTCTGGCTGGAGGGAACAATCCAAACCAGCCAGGTCAACAGTAATGTCTGAAAGCACAGTTGGTTTCTGCATGGCAGAAAGGCAACCTCAAAGAGCAACTGCTCAGCAGGATCCAGTCCAAACAGACAAAGACTACAGTGCTGTGTGCAGCCAAGGGGCACTAAAACCTGACACGCCTTTGTTCTCCAGCAACTCAAACAATCCAGACCTGACCTGATAGTCAGGTGCTTCTAAACAGCAACAGAACAGCTCTTAAGGGAAGTCATGTGAGCTTTATAAAGCATTAAAAAAATAAAAAGGAAAGTACTAACACATTATTCTTGGTGATATTTCAGCTTCCAGTAGCAGGGCTACAGAAGAACCTTAGCTTTTGAAATATCTCCAGATGCTGACAAAGTTTATTTCCTGTCAATGTTTTCAAAGTAATTTCAGAAATGCTCCAAACGTAGGACTTATGGGAGGGAATAATTTAATTGGTTTTTAAATTTGTATACTAAAACAACACAGCCAAAAGCTCATATGAACTCAGTAGAATTATTTTTCTATGTACAAAACTTCAGAAGTAGTTTTGGATCATATAGCACAGATTGTTAAACTAATTCACCTCACACCTCTGAGAGCAAGGAAAGACTCCACTCTCATACTTACATAATAAGCAGGACAAACAGAGGTTGTATCAGTAGGGCAGTACACAAACAATAAATATTAATGATTAAATGGAAAAGCAGCAATGCTCTGATAATTTAAGCCTGTGTATTCTAGAAGAGATGATAACACTCATAACAATGCCCCTACCAATATCAGAGGTGATATTTCCAATTACACTTTTTTTTCAGCTACAGGTCATCCTGTTTCAAGAGACACCCCCAGTAAAACCAGAAAATAATGAAGTGTGGAGCAGCAAACACAAGCCAGGAAGAGATTAAACTCAACAGGCTGGAGACACTTCTTATAGAAATTAACAAAATGATAACATAAGAGTCACATAAAGCAATGTGAATATCACAATTAGGTGAGATCAGGTAGAAAGTTTTCTATCTAATGGCCGAAGAAGTGGACACTTCTCTTTAACCTTCAGCAAGTTAAACAGATCTTTTTAATGTACAATTAATAGCTCACCAGAGAAATCCACTACCACCACCCCTAGCTGAGCCTAAGGACTCAAAGGAAGTGAGAAAGGAGGTGGACAGAAAAGAATAGTTTTCTACTTAGAATGCCAGAACACAGAAGCATAACCTCAAATTTTCTATGGATGGGGGTGGGGGGGAAACCCATCTCAACTTTTCTGGATACATTACTATTAAATCCCCCTTACAGGAGCTGCCTATAAAGGAAGCATTGGCATTGTCACAGACAGCATGGCTAGACTGCACTATTTGATCTACTGCACCAGCTCCAGGGCATTTTCACTGCCTTTCAGGAGGTTCCTTATATGTTGAGAGAAAAGTAAAACCACGTGAATGAAAATGCCTTACCTTTAATGCAGGTCAAATTTTAATCTTTCCAGGATGAATTTTAAGCAACAGGCGAGATAAAAGCTATTCATCTTCATGTTCATTTTACTACACAAGGAAGCCTGATTATCAATGTGCATGAGCAGTCTAATTACAGACCCTTCTGCCAGATGAATAAATCAGACTGAAATGTTATTACAAAGAGTGTTGAGAAAATGTGGCTGAGCTCTTTAGCAGTTCACCACTGCTGCTCACCAGTTTCACAGAGGGTTACTGGCTTTCCCTGGTATCATGCAGAAAAAATTTTTTAAAAAATTTTAGAAGTATTTCTCTTCTCCTTCCTCTCTTCAGAAGTAAATCTATCAATTGGTAGGTTTTCTAACAAGTTGAGTTTTAGTCCCATTTTATATTGTTATCAGAATCCTTCACAAAAGCTCACAGATAAATTATACAAAGCAAAGTCAGCCTGCTCATTTCTGAAACAAAAACACTTTCCTTACAATTAATGTTTACCTTAAATGTACTGAAAAAATGAGCTGCTTTAGTTTTCAGAGGCCCAAGGTACCAGTACCTGGAAAAAGAACAGAAATAGAACTTCTAAGATATCCAGGGGTCAATACTGGGAAAGGGGAAAACTTTGCATGAAATCAGAGCACACAGACTTGTTTGCCCCTGAATTAGTGCACCCTGACAACCTTTAGCTTTTTGATATGGTAAGACAGTTTCTACACATCACCAGCAGTCTAGAAGTGACATCCCTATCCTGAGTTACACATCACCAAAACGCAGTGCATAATCTTCACTACGGGCAGCAGGACATCTCACTATCAGAATTTTACTTTGTTTTATGAGACAACTGGGGATGATTCAAAGGTCTGTGGTCTAACAGCTGCTGGTGTGCATCTCCACAATATGCAATACAGCACATTTCCAAAGGTTGGAGGAAACAAACAAAAAACCAAACGCTTCAGTGACAAAAGAACCAGCAAACATTCATTACTCCCAAAGGATTCTCACATCGAAATCAGAGTTTTACAAAATAAAAATCCTGCCAGCCACACAGCACTGTATAGAATCTAAAGATGTGACTGTATTTAGGTAGGCTTGGCACACATTTTGATCAGTGTCTTTCACCAAAGAGGGTCAACAAAGCACATTGAACAGCATTAGCTCAAGAGTCCTGCAGATGTAAGGATCTCATTAACCATTAAGGCATGCAAATGTGCCACCACTCCCCTTAAGCCATGAAATGGTCTGTAAAATAGTAACATAAGACAGCACCAGGTCTCCAGCAGCACAGTCCTTAGTAGAGCAATAGTCAGACACACTTCTGGAACTGTGTCTTATGGCTTAACTCCCTTTGAGTTATTTTCAGTTTAAGATCAGCTGCACTGGAACACACCAAATGTCTTTAGTCCAATAACCCATCTCTCAGGGGAGCAGAAGCGGATGAAGTGGGAAAGTATAAAAACAGGACAAGCACACGAGGATTTTGTTCCAAGCAGACTCTGAGCACCTGTTCATTTGTTGCTGAAGTGCTTTCCAAGCTGGACGTGTTTCTCTGCATTCAAAAACATTTATGGAAGGAAGCAGGGCTTGACGATGTTCGTGTGCCTCGTGTACCAAAGGTGCTGTCATGCCTCCAGCACTGAGCCCAAAGGACTCTTACAAAAGGGAAGTGCTGCAGGGAGAGATGTGAAGGCTGACACCAGGCAAAAACCAGGGAAGGAAGGTGGGAAGCCCAGTAGGAGTGGAGAGAGAAGTGCATTTCTTTGAACTGGGGGCTGCAATTAGCAGGAGAGCCTGCAGCACAGCCAATTCAGCACCTACACAGCCCTCTAAGAATGTCCCTGGCCTCCCAGGGACAAACAACCTGACCATTTACTCCATCTCCCCCATCCCCTCTTAAACCTACTCAAACATTTGCCAGACAAACTCCAGAGGTCTGCTACCTCTTTCTTCCTGACAAAGACAGCTCATTCACAAAGCACATGGTATTTCCTTACAACTTGCAGTTCCTCCGTAAGAGTTTGGGGAGTCAGCTGCTTTGGCACTGCTGCTCCTTCAGCAGATAATGCCTGTCATTTGATACACAGACACTGACATGGTAAGTCTCCACTTGGAGAAAGTCCAATAATTATGAGTTTAGCATTCAGAGAACAGTCATCAGATAGCACAGTCCATGCAGTTTCTGGCAGGAACCTGAAGGCATTTCTACTGCATCTGATGTCCCTTGCTGGAATTGAGTTTCAGAGTACACACACAGCTTTTCATTGGCAGATGACAAAAAACAATGGCCAATTACTTTACTTAGACTTTACTCAAGGGAGAGATTTTCCCTGTTACAATCTGAATAAAGTTCCAGAAGCAGATATCACAAGGCAAGAAGAAAGTACTTAAAACAACAGGTCGGTTAGCACCAAATATTTATTTCAAATCACAAGAATTCTGATATATCTTACACTCCCATGTGTGTAATGCAAGATCGAGCAAGAGTGGGGGTCTCTGCCTCTCAGATGCCTACATTCAGTAAAAGACTTACTTGAGAGAGGGGAGTGTGTATTTTTAGGCAACAGATACTAAAAAGGGTACCGTTTCAAAAAACAGTATTTTCTTACTTGCTAACTTTAACTCCTGCATCTCTGTAAGATCCCCATCTTAAACCAGATACTGCAAACACAGGCTGCTCTTTTTCTCCCTGTAAAGAAAAAGAAACACTGCAAAATTGCTTTCTCTTACCTTTTTTCCAACTTTATTCTCTGAAGTTGGAAAAACAGCATTGCTGCATAAAAACTTCTGTTAAATTTCTACACAGATATTTAACAGAAGTGGTATGACAAACAGCTAACAACAATAAAGCTTAGCAGAATTTAAGCACTGTAAATTCCATGTGCTCCAGGGAGGAATATAAGAGGTGAAGTTTTGAACAGGTAGCCCGAGTTTTACTGCACACCCAGCAATGGCCATTTCATTTTGTGGATTTGACTGTTAGCCAAAAGCAAGGAGCTCTGCACAGCAATACAAGGCTCTTGCTGCAGAAATGTCCATTCTACAAGTGAACAGAAAAATAATATTCAGCAACCATACGAGGCATAGTCAAAGGTTTTCCCATTTTGTATTTTTCCATTTGTCAAAGAAAGCTATTATCTTCACAATGCACAGGAATGCATCAAATCAGCAGACAGCTACTGGTATCTCTCACCATTGCTACAGAAATACCACTGTAGTAAGTTTTGTATTCATCAATGCTCTATGAGTCTCAAAGAAAAGCAATGTTGAAGCATTCTAGTGTTTTCTTCTGTTTAGACTGTCTGATGCCATAGCACATGGTGAGAAATGACTGCCAGCAGAACTGCTGATATCATAAACTAAAATGCGTAACAGCAAAACACAGAGGAAAACCAGTTCATGCAAACATAAAAATATCAGAATAGGAAAGTTTTAGGAATGTTCGTTTCCAAATAAGTAGATGCGTTCACCTTGATCTGCAAGACATCAAGTGGAACTGTCTCTCCTTTCAAAATGGCCAATGTAGCATTAGTAATATGCCTGCAAAACAAACAGGAAAAAAAAACAAAGGAAAATAAACAGGAAGAAAGGAAATGAGTAAACTTTAAAACTGCCTTTTTTTTTTTTTTTTTCCCAGCAAATTCCACTATGAGTCCAGGTAAGGCTTTTTTTCAGCAAAAGTAAAAACCCCAGGGAAACATGCTGCACTTAACTGAAATCAGAAAGCAAAACGTGTGGTTGCAACACATGACAAAACCTAACAAACAGCAAAATACAGAAAACAGTGAAAGGAAATTATCAGCCTAAGCTTTTGAGATATTCCTCCTTTTTGAGCTAATCTAGGAGGTCAGAGGCCAACTGTGTTACCTCCTCTTTCAGATACTTAACACACTAAGGACCCAAATCACGATTCTGTTTTAGTGGTAGCAAGTATTACAGCCTGGGAGAGAATGGGACAGCATGACTGGTCTGACCAACTCACGTGTCTGAGATTGAGCTGCATTAGTATGTGCTAATTTATTTTGAAGTTTTTAATCAACGTAAATCCACCTATCAGCAGTGCCCATATTGTTTAGGTCTCCATTAAGCTGTGGACTGCAGCCAGGGCACTTTTGTCAGTTCAAGCTGTAAAGATTTTGTAACCAAAGTGTCTGAGTCCACTAAATAGCCTGTGTTCAAACCTTGAAGTATATACTTAGATTGAAACCCCTTCTTTGTTTTCAAAGTTGGGTAATATTTAGTTTCCACATGGCAAACATTTCCAGTGTCTCAGCTGGGCAAGGAAAAAATGCAGTTTTCATATCCAGCCCAATATTCATATGAATCAGTTGGAGAAACTGCCCTTGGTTTCATCAGGATTACAATACTGAGACAGATAAGGAAGCAGTTCTTCCCACAGCCCATCTTCTCTCCCAGCTCTTATCTTTCTCTAAGACCTTCACAGTTCCTACACTCCTAAGAGAGTGCTGAAGGAACCAAAGCCCAAATATTTCTTCGAAAAATATCACTTCTGCCCTTCTTAACTCAGGTTCTGTCAGTGGTGCGGGTTGTTAAGCAGCCTATTGACCAAATTATCTTCAACTTCTCCAGGGTGCTGCAGTCCCACCTGCACAGTTCATTACCCTGGCACAAGAAGATCATCCATTTCAAACAGCTTCTTCAGAACCCAAACATAAATTATTACTTTAATCTTAGCTGCTGATTACAGCCTTGTCCACCTTTCTGAGCTTCAAAGCACTCTGGTAGCTTTAAGGAAGGATGTTATGCCAGTTGACTCGTGGGTTTTACGTATGATGGATACCAGCAAGGGTTCCACAAAGAACAACATTAATGAGTTACTGGGAGAGTGAGAGTGAAAAGATTTCAGGATCAAGAAGAAATATATTTATTATTATGAGAGGAGAGGAAGGGAAAAATTGAAAAGAAATGAAGTGTGGGGAAAAGAAAGATTGACTCCCTGTTCTCCTTATAAGTGGACAAAACAATCCTGCAGCAAACTGAACTGCAGTCAACAGATACCACCAGACTGGATCATACTGAAAATGCTGAAGAACTGGGTTGTTGGATTACTGCCAGCATCAGTCCCACCATAGGGAAAAGTCAGTCCTGACCTGCAAAACTCAGTAATGTGATCCAACCTTTCCCACATTGTTGTATGCCTTACTTTGCAGGTCCTAACCAGGCTATATGCGGACCGGTTTCTAGAGTTCTTAGACTGGAGAAGGGTCAGAAAGAGGACTTATTTTTGCCTTATTTTGTCACATCCTTGCTATATCCTTGTTGTACCCTTTCAGCTATTCCTAACAGGCTGATCCTTTTAATCCCTTTTTCTTTTTAAACTCTGAGCATCACATGATCACAGAGGAATTAGTCACAGCAAATGATTTCTAATAATACATACATTTCCTTCTTTTAATTTTTAGTCAGTTTTTGGAAGTCATTAACTCAGGTAAGTCCAGAGAATCATCAGGCTCTGCCCAGAGACTGCCAACTTCTATGTAACACAGAAGAAGAAAAGAATCATGCTACCAAGAAGCACTGCTTCTTGAAAACAACCAACCATGTTTCAGAAACATGTCATACTTACTGGACTTGATTCGTGCTCTCAGGGTACAGTGTGTGGCTCAGAGTGCAAGTTTTTCCAAGGGGTATGAATCCTATAGGAATCTTACTGAAGGCAGCCTGGAGACATAAGGAGAGTAAATTAACATTTGCACGAAGCTTCCTGTGTGGAGATCACAGCTGTGTCTGGCATCACCCCTTTGGCACTGAGCACCAGGCACTTCCTCACACAATGACTCAGAACATGGCACCCAAATCTGTGAAGCCACCACTGCCAACTGGGTACAAAGGAGCTCTCTGTAATCATTAAGAGCATTGTTACATCCATTTTGGCAGCCACATCCCAACTAATGCATGGATTCTGTCAGCAATCTGCCATCTTCCTTAATACTGATGGTGGCATCACAGGCTCTGAATCCCATTTACCACTGCAGAAATCCCCTCTGACAGAGTAACCTTGCACAGCAAAGAGATTTTCTCACTTAAGGAAAAGAAATTAATTTATTCCTCTGCCATCCAAATCATGAAGCAGCAGAAGGTCTAATTTTTGGAAGTCACTGACCATATTATTTTTCTCTACAGCTGTTCAGCAAAAGGGCTTGTTGAAGGAGCAAGTTACTAGCCTGTACCTCATCTCAAACCTTGCTTTTTGAAGTGTGTCAGCAAACCAGTGTAGACTACCCCATACCCCAGAGCACCACGTCCCTCCTGGCGGATGCTGTCAGTAGTACCAGGACACAGCCAATCCACAGCCACCCAGGAATTTCCCTCTCACTGCACACCCAAGCCCTCTCCCCTGCTGTGTCTGTGTCACCTGTGAGTGCCAACACTCTCAAAAACCCTGCTCTCAGGGTTTTCTTCAGCACTGTTTGCAGCTCCTGCAGTCAAGCTCTGCTCCCCTGGCTGCTAGGAACAGGGCTTCTGGAATACCTTGCACAGGCTCTTATGCAAGCAACAGTGGTGTGACACCCCCGAGGGAAAAGGGAAGCAGGGCACAGAGAGAGGGAGCTCGAGTGCAGATCTCTCCTCCTAGGACAGAGAGACATGAAGGACAAGAATTCCTTGGCCAAAGACAGGAAGTGACACAGTGGCAATACTACAATGCAGTATTCCACCCATAATTGTGCTGGATGCAGAATTCCCCACACTACTGCAAAACGATCCAAGGCACATCAAGATAAGAAGCCAAAAAAATAAAGAGAAACTAGCCAGTAAAGCTTCTAAACTTTGCTACCACTATCATCAGATTATGAAAGTCTCAGGATCCAACTATAATAACATTAGATTTAAAACAATGATGTATCAGAATTGAAATAACTAGCCTTCCTTTAAAAATACTGACTTGGTTGCAACTCCCCCTCGTCACATTCACACAAAGCAAATGCCTAAACAGACACAATTCTAGCTGCCAAGGGTATCATCATAATCTTGTCTGCATCATTTAATAGAATTTTTGCCAGCTCCTGCGAGAAGATTTTGGGAACAATGATTCCCTCCTTTCTTCAATAACACTGTCCTCCCACTTTCAAAAGAAAAATCTATCTCATTTCCATTCAGAGTGATCCACCTTGAGAGGTTAAAATTTGCTTAGTGCAGCCATCTGCATAGGTAAGTATACACTGCTTGAAGAAACAGCAAAGCAATCCCAAAGCAGTAGGAGAGTGACCATAACTGAATTCAGTTTCAAGCCTGTACAAATACAAGAAAAACATGTACTTTTGCCCAATGCTTCTGCCAAACAAAGTGGCATGCACAGCTGGTCCATGGGTCTTTGAAAATTGAGCATTTGGCTTCTCCACAATCCCTGCTCTGACGCTGGAAACTTCCCAAAGCCATGGCTTGGGAGTCACTGCACTCCCTCAGAAAGGGAACAAAGAACAGCAGGCAGCATTGCAGGACAGTAGTCCAGCTGGATTGTTGCACAGAAAGCTGGCTTCAGAGTAGTAAGCAAAGTATTTGCGGGAGGCAGCTCAGGCCAAGAGATCACAGTGGATGCACAAGACACTCCAAGAAATAAAAACAATTTTTAAAATGACACCTTCTCACCTCATCTGCTCTACGGAGAAGTCCAGTTATGACCTGAAAAACATGGGACATGCTCTAAGAATTTTATTTTAAAGTTCCAGTAAGAACCTATGAAATTCTTAACCACATTTAATCTTTGAGAAGATTTAAGGAGCAGCTACCCTTTTATGGAAGCTGCTACAGTTGTTTACATGGGAAAGGAGGAATGTTCAGCCTGCAAACATGTTGGAAACAGCAGGTTTATGAGTGTGCCTGAGTACATGTTGGTACCACAACCAATGCCAGTGTAAATGTTTTAACATTGAATGATGGTCTGCATAATGCAAAACCAGCACTGGTCAGTGCAATTAACAAAAGGCCAGAATGAATCTACAGATGTATTCCGATCTCTTTCTCTTAAGGTCATTACATCCATTTAGCCATTGTCTTATGAAATCAGTAGTTAGACATCAGGAACTGCTTGAATAAAATACAGTTTTGAAAAACAGAGTATCCCCCAGTTCTGCTTCTGTCATTAATCATCTTGACAATAGGCATTTATTAAATACGTTCCACGCTTTGTTACCATTCCCACGTCATTTTTAAATTATCTGATTCCCACTAAGCAAAATATGAATTCCTCTTGGAATTCATAGAAGAGTTTATAGAAAGGAAGGAACTTTGAAAATCAAACCACTACAACTACATCACACAGAAAGAAAAGGTTTGAATCATGTCCCTTCAAAGAGTTTGCTCATTCTAGAATAAAGTTCTGGAAGACAGCTATGTCACACACTCCTTTTGCCCCCACTCCCATCATGTCTTAACACTAATACCAACAAGCACAGTGTTCTGTCCCCAGAATATTAGAACATTTACTGAAAACACAGATACTAAACTGGACAGATCTCTAGGAACTGTTGTTATGATGCTGCTACATTGCACAGACTCAATCTTCTTGCCCTTGGCCTAACTATGATTCACAACAAACCAGGCTCCCGCAGTACCTCTTGGACTGTGCCATCTCCTCCTGCAATAATGATCAGATCTGTGTTTTCCATTAATTCCAGAAGCTTTTTTGCTTGTCCCTCATAATCAGTCTGAAGAAACAGAGATCCAAACATGAGCACTCAAATGACTATTTTTAGTATATCTCTTTCATAGAAAAAAGAATCATCTATCTCTCTGGTTTATAGTTATTTTTATATAGGCACACAGTACTGTATATTACTTACATTCAGAGGTTTTTTTCAACTTATAAAACCAGTTTGATGCATAATATAATATGTGCAAGTAAACACACACACAGAAGTTAAATGAAGTATCACAGAAATGTTATTCAATAGATCTAGAATGTCACAGCAACCATCTAATTTGCGGGTAATATTACAATGAAACAAATCCAGAAGCCAATCACTTGCAGAAAAACTCCCACTATCTTTAACAGCCAAAGTGCTCAAGTGCATCTCCTGAAACACAGCATCAACTACACAAAAGGCCACTGCCTGACAGCCACTGACAACGGATTTAGCAGTAAAGAGTACTGACTTTTTAAACCATTAAAACTGTTTTCTACAAAATTCATGTCTTTTACAGAGCCATCTCAACCTCACTTCCTGGCCCAGCCCTGTTTTGGCAACTTGTTGGGTCTAACACTACCAAGCATCAGTTTTAAGTCTTGCAAAATGATTTCTTCTCATAGGGTGGGACTAGGTATATTTAATGATCAGAGAAAGGGATTAATGAAAACAGCATTTTAATACTAAACCTTGTGGAAAAGATTCCAAGACAGAAAGATGCACATCAGAGTACTTTGCTGTTAGGACACACTGACTATTAAGCAATCCACATATCACAGCCTCAAAAAACCTGCAGAAAGATCAGAATCCCTTCAATGTTTCCTTGTTCTTCTCTTTCCAAAGGAGACCTGTTGTTAATTCACACCATTTAGAGCTCAGTGTTCTGCTTTCATGGTGGGAATGTTGAATTATTTGGAGAGAGACAGAAATAATTTCAGTGTAAAGATAAAAGGTTATTTTTAATTAATCTGAATGGTTCAACTGCATGTCAAAATTCCTCACTTTTCAATTCTTTAAGTTCAGGCAAAAATGACAAATTCAACAGCAATGGGCATGCACCACTAGCCAGCACTCAAATATTTAGAGAGTTTTTTTCTCAAACATGTATTATAGAAGGGCTGCTTTAGACAGAAGAACAAGCATATGTACTGCTTTAGCTGAAAATTAAAATCTCACTACACTGTTTGAAAAGCAACTGTGAATTAAAAAGATTAGGTATGGACCTAATATCTCAGTATTTATTTCTTCCTGTAAGATGTCTACAGGACAACTGAGAAATTTCAAATGCATACAGATTTGAATTTCAATTCTTCAAGAGCAGAAAGAAGAGAGTCAATATTTCTACAGTAACAGGACCCATCAGTTCTTACCTTAACCACAGTTACATCCAAGCCAGATAAGTGCAAGATCGGTGCAGCATTCTTTTCAAAAAGGTTCCCAGCTTTGCTAGAAATAACAGAGTAAAAACTGTTTAATGATGCCTGCGGCTGAAAAAAAAAATTAAAAAGGAAAAAAACAAATGAATAGCAAAAAGAAATCTACTTAAAACCAAGCATTCAATCTCCACAATCAGTCACTCAACCTGACAGTCAGGAAAGACGAGATTTCACGTGGCTCAAATGCATTACGTTTCTAGTCTCATATCTCAGATGTCAGGGTTTTGTTGCAGCTTTAATAAGTGCACAAGATGCTACCTAACTTTTGCCAAAAATAATTTTAAAAACCCATTAAAACAAATTAAGATCTCCAGAAAGAAATTTATTAGAATATGAATGACTTACAAAGCACTAGCCTTTAGGACCATAAAGAAGGCCCATGTAGGCTTTAAGAAGTATTTTTAAAATTATTTATTACTACATATTATTAAATAAGGTTAGAAGCAAAATTCTGACCTTTTTTGTTGTAGGACTGATAATTTTATGCATGCCATTGCATAACAAAATATATATCATCAAATTATATCAAATAACAAAATATGTATCAAAAATTATATCATTAACTATAAATTGTTTACAAGTTGAAACATGAGACTTGGTTAATTCCACGCATTTTCCAGACACATAAAAGCATGAGTCCAAGCACTCTCATGTCAGCTATAATATTCCCCTCATATTGGTAGTAACAACTCTCTGCCCCTCCATAAAATGCAACTATTCCAAAGCTTATTTGATCAGCAGAAATAGACACACATCACATCCAAGATTATGGTTTTTCTGCTAATGAGGATGTAAAAATAGCAGCCGACCTCTTCCAGGAGTCTTGCTCCAAGTCCATATTTAGCCTCTCAGTTTGTGGGCACATCCCTTTCAAGGGCAGGTTCCCACAGAAGTAAGATCACTTCTTGCCAACTTCAAGTCTTGAAGCAATCAAGGTCATCTCTTACTTCTATAGTTTTTGAGGATGGAAATATATCACATGCAAAAGTTTGGAAGGAATACATAGGAATTCTACATACAAAGGAATGACAAAGGCAAAACACAGGATTAAAGAAAAAAAATGGAAAAAAAAATGTTTAGAAATCATTCTTCCACCTAAAGCAACTAATTCTATTTCTCATCCCAATATTTTTGGTGAAATTAAGTTTGGCATAGTTACATAGCACCAGCTTGTCACCAGAGTGAGGCAAAAATGAGCTCAAAAATTTGGCTAGCTTTTATAGTGGACAGCAGAGAAAAATGCAGAGAGAGTGCCTCAAATGAGAGTGCTAGGAAGGGGGAATTTTACCCTTTGCAAGCTGCTGGGTTGAGGAAGACTGTTGCTTTCTTCAATGGCATAGTGGCAGGCATCAGCTGGTTGCCAAAAGCCTAAGTAAGAGAAAAAGAGCAGGGCTCAGTTCATCTTTTAAGCACACTGCTAAAACAGTTCAAAATAATGCATCTCTACAAATGTCAATGGGCTTTCAAGCCTCATGACATTCAAATGACTTCCATCTTCAGCCATTGTACAGGTCTCTTATTCAAAGGCCTGCATTCTTAGCAGCAGCTCCCATCACTGTCGTAAGTACTCTTTAGCTCATTTTTAATTCCGCTACCATTTCGTTTTTGTCAACCTCTGGTTTTCTGCAATGGGCAGAAATCCAGGGAGCTCTCCTTGACTCCAAGGTTACTGGATTTTCTTTCCATATGTAATCCTCATACACCTGCATGCCACCTTCTTTCTGCATTCTTTCCAACTTCTGAACTTAATTCCTCTATCTCTTCTACTCATTTTAGTATTTTCTATGCTTCAGTTTTTGAAGACAGGAAAGATAATTATAAGAGAATCTGCCTTGACCTATAAGCAAGCCCATTGTTTCTTATACTTTTTTTAAACTAATCTCTCTCTATAAAAATCATTAAATTCCTCTTCAACTATTAATTCAATTCTGAAAAAGTGTCTCAATTTTAAATTCTTTGAGAGTTTCTCCACAAAGCCTCTTACACTTTGGACCTACTTCCAAAGCTGTACAGCACAGGCCACGAAATGCAAGACTTCCACACATGTCACATCCTGCTCTATAAGCTTCTAGAAGGTCACTTAAAGGCAGCCTCACTAACACACCAAATCAATCCGGATTTGAACACAAGGAATACAAGGTATTCAGCAATACCATCCAGAAGCCCCACAAAGAGTAGGAACCAAAGACTACTGTGCTGAACATGGCCCAGTCAACTGTTCCTGGCTTTTTTCCTCTTTCCCTTGGAAGTTAACCCCCTAGCAAGAATTTTTATATTGAAGGAGGTGATACTGTACATGAAGAACAGTACATTTTAGTGGCTGTTAGCTATTTCAACTTATTAGTAATTCCACTTGCAAACTTTGCTCAAGAAACCTCAATTTAAAGTAGGGTACAGCTGACTGTGCTGCTTAAAACATCCAAATTTCTTCTTCAGGAAAGAAAAAGCAGGAGAGAAGTTGCTGAGAGTAAAGAAATCTTCAAAGAAAGTGAAACAAATCAATAGCACTTAAGCTTTACTCAAAGATCAGCTGGAAAACAGACCAACTTATTATACAATTGTTGGGTGGGAATTGGGGAATAGGGGCCCTCTAGCATGTTACAGCTGTTAGAAACAACTAAATATTTGCTTAGGGGGCACAATATGATGTATTTGCATGCTCCAAACAATCTAGCAAGGCTCTAAACAACCCAACAAGGCTCAGAAAGATTTTATTAGTAATGACATAATTGCTTCGCTATGTAATATACTTAGACATTTATGTTACATACAGGGGCATTTCTAAAGCAAATGCTGATTTGTCAGACAGGAAATAATGCAATATTTCAAAATATTTTGAAAGAAGTCTTTCAGAGCAGAACATAAGTAAAGACAACTTATAGTCATACCATAAAAATGGTTATTAAAATATATATATATGAAGATATAATTTAGGTAAGCCAATGCCTTTTTCACTTTCTGGTCACATGCACACTTCCAGGTATTATATTTCTGGACTTCTAAAATGACAACCACTATTCTACAACTTTGAAAATTCCTTTATACAAAGCTTTTACAGTGCTTTATGAATACCAGCAAAGAAACTACATTCTTTTACAGAAAACTATCCTTGAGTGAATTGTTTGCCAGCTAAGCAGCACCTCTTTTCACATGCCCAGACTTCAGCAACAAGGTCAATCAGCAAGACTGATCTGCCAAGGAAGACCAAGTCATCTGACACTGACTTATCCTAGAGACAGAGGTGTAAAATGTTAAAAATATGATAAATGGATTCTTTATTGCAGAAATTTATCTTTCCGTAATCTTTTGCTACACCAAGGCTGTCATCATAAACTGGTATTTAAATTCAGACACACACAGCAGAACCTTTGCATGAAATACTGCTGTCATGGATTCTCTCTCAGGAAGGCACCTCCCTCATCAAATATGATAATGCAACAGGCATAAAAACCTAAAAATCCAATGTAAAAACGGTAAGAACTTCACACACACTTAATTCAAACTAAACTTTTTCTTTGGTGAGTCTGTCTCTATTTTTTTCCGATACTTATATACAGCACTATAAAAGCAAGTAGCATTTTTCAAACAATTTTAGATTGTTGTTATTCTGAAGAACATACCAGACACTTAATGCCTTAATGCAGTACTGCTGTGCGTTTTCAAGCACTATTTGGCAATGACGCGTCAGTGAGAATGGAAATTACAGCAAGAATTGATTACCAGGCTTTCTGGTTCATTCCTTTCTAATGCAGGAGCCTTCTGCAGGACATTTTCTCTGGCTTTAACCGCTAAAATTGCGGGAAGCTTTATTGACAGTGCTTTTGTATTTTCATTTGTAAGAATAAGCCATAATGGAATAGAACCCGTCACTTAATAACTGGATTTAAGAAATGGGAAATTCAGGATTTCCACAACTGAACTATCTGCTGGTACCAGTCTTTTCCTTAGCACTTACACCTTTTTGACAATACACACAAACCACTTCATCGGCTCCTTTCAAAAAAATTGGTTTAATTTGGTCAGCATGCTTCCAAATACTGAGGTATTAATGGCTATTTCTTGTGATATAAAAAACTTTTATCACTTTGTTATTATGTAGTAAAAATGAATATTGAAAACATAAAGACTCTGAAATTACAAGTATGGTTTATGAAAGCAATACTTCAAGGAAAAATTTTCCTTGTTTTTTCATGAGCAGTGAGCTCCCTTACATCTATCCTGGCATGAAGATCCATTGCACAAGACAAGTTGCTGTGAAAATCTTTCAAAAGCAGACAGGCTAAAATTGGGATAATTCAGGTGCACAACACTTCCTTATTGAGAAAAACAACTTTCACCATTCTACTCAGGCCCCAGTACGCAATGATGGGAGCAGCGTTACACCCTGCAAAATGTCAAAGATCTATCATGAAGAAGCAGGTTTAGAATAAACTTTATTTGTGGGAGGCAAAAACCCTTAAAATCCTACAGAAGTGATGTCATCCATGGGCAGCAGCACTTACACCTCCAAAAGACTGCTTATTAAGGACAAGATTTCTTTGTTGGAATATTGCAGTATGGGAGTTTGTTGACTGCTGTTTGCCCATGCAGGCCACAAATTAAGAAATGCAACAGTCAGTACCCTGAGAGTAACTCTCCCCCCTGAACAGAGGCCTTCTTGTCACTGATCAGTAACTAGGCTGTCCCCATTAAGCTCCCAGGAGATGGGTCCCCAAAGAGCTGGGTCAGTCAGTCATCACAGCTGGCATCCCTGATAAAGTCACTCAGGGTCAAACAGACAAGGGCAGGGTCTCTGCAGCTGAGCACTGACACAAAGTGTTTTTTGCTGCTTCTGCCCAGCATACACCCCTCCTGGTGGGGCTGGGATTTCACTCTTATCAACAAATCATCTCCCTGCTAGAAGTTTACAGGCACAGAGCAATTGCATGTGCAGCAATGGAGGTCTGGGTAGCTCCAGCAGTGATTAAGATCAAGGATAACGCTGCCCCCCCTGCAGCAGCAGCCAGGACACGCAGGGGGCAGTACCCCCATCCTCCCCTGGGTGTCAAGGGAAAGAACACAGATGATGGCATCATTAGAAGGCTTGGCACGTAGGAAAGGCCCATTGGGAAAATCTCAGGAGCCCTGCACAACCAAGATAAGAGGCAGATTTTAATCTAATTTTATTACTTTAAACAGTATTACCTGGGCTTCTTGGCATGCAGCTCTTCGTAGCAGGTTATCACTATCAGGTAAGACAGAAAGAGAGGGGATATTACGTTGTGTAAGTTTAAAACAATTTGCTCATTTTTAAAATGTAGGTACATACCCTTTTTACACACGGTTTGACAACACTGGAACAGAAAAAACCCCAAAACATTTTAAGGATAAAACACCCCCACTGATGCACACATGCATTTTCTTTTTCTGCATGTGCACACAAGCGTTCTTTCTACAGAAAAGAAAAGCAGAAAACAAAGACCAAGATGCCAAGTGTGCTGAGATTATGTAAGCTCTGCGTAACTGTGATTTATTTGTTAAATTGCTACATAACTGTACTCCAGAGCTCAGGTGTGGGTTTTTCCAATGTTCTTGCTGCCTGGTGTTTACACCAAAGGTACTTACCATTCTGGCAGTGTAGAAGGGTTCCAGAGAGGACTTTGTGCATTACAACTGTGAACTCTCCATCAGTTTGCAAGCCAAACACACTTTAATGCAGCACCTCCCACTCACCTAGGTCTGAGCATGGCCCAAAGCAGTAACTCAGAAAGGTGGAAAACATTCATCTCATTAAGTGAAGGGTAAAAACAAAAGAGAGATGCTCAGTGTTAGATATGTGACAGATGGTCTGTTCAGAAATACATTTCTGACTTGTCACTGGCAAGGCTATACAGACAGCAAGCACTGGAGACACAGCTACTGAGCGACGAATGAAAGTCTATTCCTTCCCCAGCCCCAAAAATGCCCTATTTCCCCTTACAGACAAAATGGCAAGTACTGTTCTGCTGTGCCCAGAGTCTTGCCTGTCCTCCAGATACCAACACTCTCCATCCTCCAGCTTGTCCTTGCCTAACACCTGGCAAGACCATGTATTTTTATCTCAAAACATCACATACAAAAAACCCCACTTACAGTCAGCATACCAAAACAAACACTGTATCAACCAAAAGGATTAAAGGCCAACCAGACAAAAACAGGGGGCTAGGAGAACAGCACACTTCTGCCCCAAAGTGTGGCTCATCAGGCCAAACCCTGCCATGGAAATGGCAGAAAAGAAGGCAAGGCTAAACCCAATTGCCATCTATTTAATTCCATTGGTTTACAGAAGTAATTTGTTTCCACTGGTTATCTGTCACTGGAATTATATAAGCTGCTCTTTTTGGCATCACCAAGAGATGCTGCAGTGCCATGAAACGAGAAGTAGGGTGACTTCAGGTGAGATATAAAATTGGGTTCTGCGAAAATAACTACACTATAAAAGCCAGATTTATTCCTGGCGATAATGAAAAGACAAAGGAAGAGTTCAAGCATGGAAAAAGAAAATATGTGAATAATACCTCATCAGGATAACAAGTAACTGGAATGTCTGCAAAAGAATTCCTCAGAGGCATGCTGTCATATTTGCTCCTTAAAACCAAAGGAGTAGATAATTTGTATTAAGCACCTGCAATATCACTTAGAGGAGCAACAGCCTTGGGTTTGACTGCACTAACATGATGGAAATGCACCAGTTAAAATAACTCTGCAAAGGCTGGTGTTCCAGGCTGTGCAACAGCAGTGTCACAGCTAATTCCAGCTCAATCAAGACAGCGTGACAGGCTCAGTCCACACTGCGCCACTGAGGGCACAGTGTGGACTCAGCCCTCACACAGGGACATTTTCACCTCTCTCTGTGACTACGTGTGGCCAAAGCAAATAGAAAATTATTGCGATTTCAATACATAAAGCTGAAATATTATGGGATATCAAGGAGCCCCCACTATCAAATGATGGCTGCACAGTGGATGTCTTTGAGAATTGCTGTCCTAACCTTCTGAACAAATCCCAGCCAAACCCACGTTATCTGTTTACTTGACATTGATGCTATTTTGTTCAGAAGTCAAGCTCTGTCATGCTGTCAGCCAGGCTGTTTTCCTGGTGCCCCCAGCTTTATGCTGCAGTGCTAATTGTCTTTAAAATGAATTCCAGCAACATTTCCCAAATACAAGCAGAAAATACTGTGCTCTCTTTCTCAACCTCAAAGATCCTCAAAACAACTGTCAAGGATTCACCTCAGTGAGTTTTACCCATAAAAATTAAGCTTGACAGTTTAGATGTCAACATTTATGCTGATTTTCTCCTGCACTGAAGCACTTAAAGAGACAGAAGAAGCCTATTTTAACACTTACCATTTTAGTGTCAAAGGAAATGTTTAGATTCTGAGACTAGAAGAATCATTCACCATCCAGCAATTTCCAGGTGATTTGTCTCACTTCTCCAGCAGCACAGCACCCAGAATCCCATACCATCCCAACCATACCCATAAGACTTCCACTTAATTCAACTGGGACATTTCAAAGTCATCTGAGTTTGTCAAGGATGTCCCAGATTTGGTATAAAGATGCCAGGTAATAGGAATTTTTTCATTTCCTTAAAATATTATGTCAACACTTAACTAGATTCAAACTCCAGAAAAAACAGTACAAGTCCACTCACAGGGACGCATTTGTAAGAACAGCAGGCCTCCTCCTACATCCAGCTGTTGCATTTACTCACCTCACATGGCTCACCTAAACTACCCCAACTGGCCCTGCAAGTCCTCTGCAGGTCATAAAAATCACTAAACAGAGCTAGGAAAAAATGTGAAAACCAGCTAAAAGGTAACTTCTTGAAGTCTTCTGCCTCAGTATGTATTCATTCTCAAAATATGACTGTTCACCAGCTCCCAGAAAAGATGAGACTTTAGTAACAAACACAAGATTTTGATTTTTTTGTACTTTATTTTTTACTATTAGGTAGCAACAAAGCTTTTTCAACAATCCTCAAACATGAGCAGGTGGAGGCAGAGGGAAATTGCTCCACTGCCTTAAAGACTACAAAGAGATTTCTTCTGACTTGCACCATATCCACAGCAAACTAAAAATCAATTTTTATTTCATGTTTCCCCTAAGGTCTTATCTACATCATTTGGCCTTAAAGCCAAACAGACAAGCAGTGTTGCATCTGCTGGCAAACTCAGGGCTGTCTTCCTGCTGTGAGAATTAAGCATCACATAGCTTACAGCTGGGCCAACTTGCTTAAGCAGTAAAAAATTGGGAAACGGAGAAGAACAAACAATGGCAGCAGGGTATGGAAGAAAGAGGCTGTCCTAGGCTGAACCCGCAGAGAACATTCCCAGCACAGCCTCAAGGCCAGCAGCCACAGCAGTACAGACTCTGTGGAGACCAGAGCAGGCTCACAGCAAAGGATGGAACCAACACAGAAAGGACTCAAGAGTGACTGGGCAGAGCTCCCCACTCCCCAGCTGTGCCAGGCTGCCAGCACACAAGGCTCTGAGAACACAACATCCATATGACCTGCCTGGACAGGACTGCTCTGATTTCTCTGCAACACCCCTAGGGCAGGACAGCTGGCCAGTGCTCCTGTCCTGAACGTTTTCAGCTGGAATAGGGCATTATTCACACATAAGCACAAGATCCACACAATTTAGTATGGATGCTCCTCAAGATGAGGCTGAGTTCTGTGACCAAGAGCCAGCAGAAGCCAAGGTGGAAGGACAGCTCCCATGATCAAAGTCACTCAGGAAAGCAATGAATGCAACAAGGAGAAGACAACAAAGTTGAACTGAAGCTGTCTGAGGCTCTCAGCTGCAGCAAGGGTCTTAGATCCAACCAAAGCAACTCCCCTAAAAGTGATCACACTACAAATGTAAAAAGAAGCTCAGTATCTCATTCCAAAATGGGTTATCAGCATTAAATCTAAGACTATTAAATATACTCAAATATGAAGAAGTCTAAAAACTTTAAAGTTTAGTGTCCGCACCTTCAAACAGTTTTGTGAGGAGAAACTTGACCAAAGCTGTGCACACAGGATCAGCCCTCAGGAGCTGTATCAGAACTCCTGAAAAAGATTTTATCTTAGCAGAGAGCTTTTTTGGCTGCTTCTAATACAGCAAGAGCACAGAATCCTCTTTACTGGGTATTAGAATTTACTTCCATCTTGGCCTTGGAAGGGCATGAAAGACAAATCTTAGGTTTCATCAGCTTTACCTAAGACTCAGAATTTAAACTCTGGTTTTTTTTGACAAAGTTTGGATGAAAAAGTCAGCTACTCAGGAACTATACGCAGAAAGGTGACAAAGTGAGTTATCAGCTGGCAAACACACAGAGACTAACATTCAAATTGTAGATAACAGTACCACTCAGGATTACTGGCAGGCAGTCAAAGGCTCAGGTGCTTTGCCAGCACTTTCTACTGAGAATGCCAATACTTTAACATATACAGAGTAAAACTAAGTAAGTATGTGATGAGTCCACTGCCTCAGTAGAATATCTAGGGTCTCCATCCTGACACGGTGATGATCACTTCTGCAGTGACATCACTGCAATAGTCTGGTCAAATCTGACAATCAGTTCAGCTGATGTTCATCATGCTGGAGATTTCATTTCTGCTGATTTGACAGAGCTAGTAACTCACTGCACCCCCTGGGTATACAAAGAACAGCTGCGGCTCACTTCAGGAAAGGTGACCCAGGACATAAAGTTGAGAAGGGATTCCAAACTTGGTGAAAATTTTAGAACAATCAAACGGTAAAGAACAATCCTTATTTGTAATCACGCTCACCTGTGTGTGTTAAGCAGAAGTACATTACTGTGTATGAGCAGATAGCTGGCAATCTGCATACCCTGCAAGCTTTGATCTAGCTTAATATTAAGTGTCCCTTGTACCTGCAACATGATATGCTACAGATTAAAATGAGCCTAATATATAAATTCATGCAATCCAGCAACCGCACATGTAGCAACACTGAGTTATTTGAAACTTAACACTGAGTATTTGCTATCCTAAATGCAAGATGGTGGATCTTTAAAGCATATTCTTTTATGAGAACAAAAGGAATTTTGTTAATAAGATGCATAGTGGTTTTGCAGGAACGGCAGTGGGGTTCCAGTTAACAGTAGTTCAATCAGACATAACTCCTATCATTTGATAGATGAAAGACCTTTGCCACCTCCTGACTGACAGCCCTGTGAAGAGGTACCTTCTGCACTATCACGTGCTCAGAATAACTGAATGGCAGAAGGGGAAAAAGAACAAGGCTTCCTACTTTAATTCTTCCTGCTCGTCCAAAACTCCATACTTTTAAATCAGTCAGCATTTGAAAAAACACCCCCTGAACGGAAAGGTTAATACACTGATCCAGACAAGAAATGCTGCAGGAAGAAAGTACCAGGACTAACCAGCTCCTCAACCTTTACAGCTATTGCCATCCACAACCTTCAGACCAATTCAATGATGATCCATCACACTCCGTGCCCCTCTTCCCTTTACACCCTAGGGAGCACAAGAGCATCCACACCAGGTTCCATAGCACACTCTTCAGGGTGTGCAAGGGGGACTTCCACATCCATTTCCAGGCAGGGAAGAGGCACTGGGAATGAGCCTGGAAAAGGCAACATTCTTCTTGTCCATACAGCGTCCTCCAAAGTCTTCAGGAAGTACTTCAGAGCTCTTCTGTGAGCTTGGAGAGACTGACTACAGAAGAGCTGCCATTTATCTGCAGGACAGATTGTTATTTACAACAGCTCCACTTAATGCAGGCATCATGGCTGCTGCATCAGAAAGAAGAAAAAACCTTAAGAAGTCAAAAAAGCAAATCACCTTCTCCTTGCAAGAGAAATATTTTAGAAAACCCACAAGGACGGAAAGAGGGATGCAGGATGGCAAACAAAAATTTTCTTCGGCTGCAAATAAATGACCAACATCTCAGCTACTTCCAGGAAGTCAGAGGCCAATCTGAGCCAATGCTGTGCTGAAGCAAGGCCCTTCATCAGGAACTCGTGATGCCAGAAAGCAAAGTACAAGAGCTCACTGCACTTTAAATGTGTTCTCAAAGGGCAAATATCAGTCTAGTCAGGTATGGCTCATGCACAGCAATTGAGCCTCTGATGGGGATAACAACAAACCTCAGGGCCAGCCCAGCCCCTACAGATCCTTCATTAACCTCTCCCAGAGCTGTCTGTGGCCATCTGTTCATGGGGCAAAAGGCACCTCCCTGCTCCTCAGCACAACTGGGACACAGACACAGGGAGCAGGGAATGTACAAAAACACACCAAAAGCCATCCCCACAAGCTGCAGAGAAGCATCCTGGCCTACTCCCTGCTGTCCACCTGCCACAAGGTAAGGTCCTCACCGTTTACAGAATATCACAAAGGGCTGTTGAGACCACCTTTGAACTCTTCTTTACACTCTTGTCATCAGGCTCTTGTTCCTTGTTTTTCTCTAACCTGGATAAAACAACTCTCTGCAGGGAATGGCCCAGAAACTGCAATACAGTTGTTAGTGTTTCCAAACAGTGTTTGAAACTCTGAAAGCAGTAGCTATGGCCTGCATCAAAGTCTCACTGAGCTGTCTGTCATCACAGGATTTCTTTCCTCGCATTTCCAGTGCCTCCTAAGGAAATGCTGTATTTTCCTTTACAGACAATAGGGAGATTGGAGAATGGGATATGTAAAATCTTCTGCCCCCAGTACATCATATGGGTTAAAGCACCATGCCTACACTTGGGGCAAACAACCCGCACACACCAAAATTTAGATACCGAAGATCCCCTTTTTGGTTGTTTGCCTTTCATTTTTTGCTCCTTATTCCCCGCTACATCACCTGTGGCACACTCCACATTCTCTGTGATCCAAACACAATTTCACCACCCCCACACAAGAGAACAGTGCACATCTGAAACCAACAGCACACGGGCACAAGAACTCCCTGACACAACAGATACAAAGGGGACACTGAGCCTCAGTGCTTCAGGTAAGAAGCAAGCAACTAAAGCAGATGTACCATGCAAAACAAAGGTTGATTTAATGCCAAAGTCCCTAGATAAAAGGATGTGAAGAGAGTATAAAAACAACATAAACAGATTTATTTTCCTAACTTTTCCACCGAGGCTTTGGCAGCGTTGCAATGTAAGCAGAAAAGAGCATTGTTAAAAACCTCAGTAAACAATTAAAAATCATTAAGACAGCGACAATAAGCAGCAGAACCAAAAGTAACACCTTTTAAAAATAATTTGGCTACACCTGCTTTTCAGTCAAATGCATTACCCACAATCCTGAAGGACAAGATAAACTCAGCTTCTTTAAAAACACAAATGACGATTTTACTTACAGTAAGGGACATTTACTCCACGGGTAAGCAGTGGCAATGACACCACCAGGTATAACTTAGGGGAGGAGCAGCTGCCAGGCTTCTTCCCAGCTGGGGGGGCGACAGCAGCAAAGACCGCACGCCGTGGGGGACAGCACAAAGCTGCGGGTGCCAGGCCTCAAAAAGAGACAGGGGCTCCCGCTACAGCGCCAGGCCTCAAAAAGAGACAGGGGCTCCCGCTACAGTGCCAGGCCTCAAAAAGAGACAGGGGCTCCCGCTACAGCAAACTGGAGGAGGGAAAGGCCACAGGCACAGGGCCACCACGCTGGGATGAGCCACGCTCAGCACACCCTGCAGGCCTGGTTCCAGTCATCCTTGTAATACAGGCTCAAAGCAAGCAAGCTGAAGGCACACGTGTGGCTCACGACATTCTTTTTTAAGTCAGAAAACCTTCTCCTCTCCAAGAGGCCCGAACACTGCTCACGCCAGCCAGACATCCCCTCTGTTTAAACCTCCCGCCTGAACCCGCCCCAGCCCTACAGCACGGCCGGCGTGGGAAGGCAGAACAGACATTGAGCCTCCCACGTCCCCAGCTGCTGAAGCAGGAGGGAGATCCATCCCCTCCGGCTGCCGGGGCCTCCGAGAGGCGACCCCCATTTTAGGCGCTCCCCCTTCCTCCATCTCTCCCTCCCGCCTCCCCGCCCGTTCCGGCCCCAGCCGGCATTACCAGTGCTTGCCATAGAGCCAGTGTCCGCCCCAGCCCAGCAGGCAGGCTCCGAACGTGGATTTCTTCCAGTGGTGCCTGAGGGCCGCCAGCACTTTCGCCATGGTGCCCCGCCGCGCCGGGGGCCGCTGCCGTGCCCGGCCCGGCTCGGCTGGAAACGGCTCCCGCGGCCCCGGCGTTCCGCGCACGCAGCCGGCCGCACGTCACGGAGACAAACAAACAAACAAACAAACAAAGCCCCGCGAATCCCAAGGAAAAGAGTTTTGACTCTTCCCAGAGTCCCGGCGCTCGCTGCCTTGCTCCAGCCCCCGAGCGGACCTGTTGCCGTGGGCTCTCGGCTGCCCGCGCTGACGCTGCCGGGGGAGCGCGGGCAGATGGAGATGGAGCGTCGCGGAGGACAGAAGTGAATCGGTCTTCTTTCCACGTCAATAAAAATATCCATGGTGTTGCCCCCGCCAGCACAAAAAAAAACCCCAAAACCCATAAAAACCACCAAGAAAACCCCAAACCTGCCAAAAACACCACACCCAAATCAACCAAACAAAATACAACAAAAAGAACCTCAAAGAAAATCTGTATGAGCATGCAACAGGCTATTGTTTTTAAGGGTTAATCCTCTGTTAATGTATGTCCTTTTTCAGGCTTATTTTGCCCAGAAAGAGATACCCAGACTGTCCGTAACTCTTTGTTTTTATTGTCTCATATTGTCCTAATCTCAATTGTTCAAATTTTTATTACTCTAATTATATTACTATTTTTATATAACCATTTTATTACAATTAAATTTTTAAAATTTTAAAAAGAAGTGATTGGTGTTTTTCACACAAGTAAAACAGAATCACAAACAAACACCCGAAAATATTCATAATACATAGTTAGAAGTGTTGTCCAGGAGGTAGGGGGGGTTTGCTGTTTAAGCCTAACCATCAAGATGACCAAAAGAACCTGGAGAAATGTCTCCAGTCACACATAGAAAATATCAATATCACAAGGATGCCATGCAACCATGAACAGCATGAGCATCCTGCCAGGGGAAGGAGGAAACAAACAAGGGGCAAGATCTGACCTCATCATGGAAAAAAGCTTTAGGACAAACTAGTGGTGGTAGCCTCTCCTAGCATGAGGTTGTAACTAGTGTTCTCTATAACAATTAACAAGGTAACCCACCCAGTTGATCAAGGGAAGCCAGTACCTGTAATCTTTTTAGATTTCAGTAAAACTTTTGTCAGGAAAATCCAAAAATGCCAGAAGTTTATGTCCAAAAGAAGACAGAGGAGTCCTGCCACTTTTTTGGAAAAAAGGGAGAGAGTCCACCAGGGCACACCTGCGGGGTTTTCTCTCTCGCGGTTTTGGAGGGTGCAGCCTCCTTTTATCTTGAACTCCCGGCCGCATGTTGCCCTCTTCCTTTCCCCACTGGCTGAGGTATTAGGAAGGTCCAGTCTTCCCAAACCCCCTGCAACATGTGCCCCCTTGAACCTGTCATTTTACCCCAAAGCTCTGAAGCTCAAGCTTGTGCAGACCCTTCTCTGTTTGAGGACCCAATCTTTCTGGGCTCTGCAACAAACCTGCTGCAAAACATCAGAAGGGACATTAAGACCCATTTCAAAGACATTAAGAGACCCATGGAATTGATGGTAAAGACATGAGCTTTCCTCTCAATCCCTCCTCTTCTTGTTTCTCAATTTGTCTTTACAAACCCTAGTTATTATTAACTTAACCCTTTTGAACATCTGGAACATTTGAAGCATCCCTCCTGACTTTTCCACCTCTGGTCCCTGCACCAGGTGTGGCAAGTAAATACAGAGAATAAAGTAGACAATGACAGTTCATATTCGCCCATTAATCATTAGAGGTCCTTGTCTGTGGCCACTGATAGCCAAGTCTCCCATCCTTTTCTTCCAGCTGAGAAGTGCAAATCTCTGGGGCTTTGGAGACCTTGACCTGTGTGTGATGGGTTCACTCATGTTCAGTTGTCCTGGATGGTGTTCCTGCAGTCCTGGTGGGATGTTCTGAACAGCAAATTCCAAAGGCAGTGTCTGTGCTGACTGTGCTTCCTGTTCGAGTAACCCCAAATGGCCCCAAGTAACCACCACCAGGCACTCCAGTGACATCAGGTCAGCCCAAATGACCTCAGGTGGCCACTATTAGGCACTCCAATGACCTCAAGTAACCCCACCAGGGATTCCAATGACCTCAAATAACCCCTACCAGGCACTCCAATGACCTCAAGTAACCCCAAATGACCTCAAGCAACCCCTGAGGTTCTGCAGCCTCAGCTCTCAGGAAGGAGCAGCCCGCAGCACCCCACAGCAGCCCATCATTACCAGGCTGGCAGGGGCAGGGGTATGAAGCAGACTCTCCCACAGCTTCTCTCCCAGCCTGGTCCCTCCATTCATCATGTTCTCGAGGAACTGGCTCCTCAGCACCAGGACCTGAGCAGGCCAGAGAACTCATCTGGTTCACAGTAGCCCTTCTATTTTGCTGCACCCAGTCAGTACAGAGTCTTAAACTGGGTTTAAAAAACCCAAAAGCAATGAATATTATTACACAGAGAAAATGTGTAAAACTCCTCAGCCAACTTCCTGATCATGCCTCATTCTTCCTGACCTCTCTCAACTCTGTACAAGGTGTTTGAAGGGAATGGGCAAAGGCAGCTATGAAGATAACACACACTGTGGGAATTCACATACCCACACCCACATTCACCAATTGTGGTTCAATAAAATGCACTTGCTCATCTTTTCCACTTACCAAAAGAACATTTGAACAATTGTTCCCCTTTGGCATAAAATGCAAATTAGAGAAGTTCCTGTGTCTACTAGGAAACTCACATTGTGGTTCAGCAAGGGCAGCAGTGTGGTGAGCCCCTGGTGCAATACCTGATCCTAACACCCTTAACAATCCATTTCTAATGTTCTTTTTACAAATGGCACCTTGATTCCTTCCCAGCCACTGTCCTGGTGGCTGCCCCCTTCCCACTTGTTCTGGGGCTCCCTGCACTTTCCCCCAAAGTTTGTCATGACACATGAGAGAGGGTGAACAGCCACAGAGATTTCATAAAAGTGCTGAGTTATTCAGAGAGACCCCATCCTATAAGAGGGGAAGAGGGATGTTCGCCATTCCTAACGATCTTTTGGCTAAATAAGTGATGTGAGGGAGCAATGCTGCTTTTGTAGACCACTCTTGACAGGGACCTCAGTTTGCAGACTCAGGAGAACAGGGATGCACTCTGGCAGGGACCAGTGGGTCAGAGTAATGGATGGAACACTGGACAGATTTTTTTTTCCCTGAATGTTTTTTCCCTCTTACAAAATGCCATTTTAGCAATTAAAAAACATCAAAGCCAATAAAATGGCTTTTTTTGTTGCTTTTGGTTTTTTTTTTTTTAAGTAAGAAAACATTAAATTATCTTCTCCTGATGAATATTTCAGGCATAACCTCATACAGTAGCCATTGCTTCCCACTTAAATATTCCAGGTTCATCTGTCCACTGCATCTCAGTGTGCTGAGTATGTGCACTTGATGTAATGCTGAATTTTCCCGTAGTGTGGAGTGATTAAATGTCCTGCTTTTCTTTCGGTGTTTGTCCTACTTTTTTAGAGGATTTGGGTGGTATGGCCAACTGCTAACAGCAATTATAGCCTCAGGTATTAGTACTCTCATCCTTTTCTTCACTTATGAAAAGACTGTGTGCTGATAAATGCTTTTCAAATTCATAATTCTCATGTGGTCCCACAAATAATTTACAAACATCTATAACTTCCTATTTTGCAACCAAGTCTACCGAGTACAGTTATATTCATTAACGATGTTTCCAAAACAAGCTTGAATTTTTAAAATAAACACTCTTTAGTATTCAAATACATGTTCAGAGCAGTCAGAAAAAATGCTTAAATGTATGAAGGGCCTGAGTATCTCCAAGATGGCTGAATGGCAATTTTCCTATGTTTATAACCATGAAAACACATCACAGTTAGTATAAATGAGAAATTTTATCTCAGTTGCTACTTTTCTTCAGCATTCCTAGCAGAGGGACTTGACCCTGCTTTGGCCAGGATGGTCGGCCAGGGTGAGGTCCAGAGGTCCCATCCCATCTCCCCTGTTGGGACTGTATGACACTATCTGAGATTTTGGGTTGCTGATTTTTGACGAGAGCTGCTCTTAGAAGAAAGAGACAGTGCAGACAGCAATGACAGATTGTGCACTTCTCTTTTTACTTGGCATTACTTAGAATGCAGCGTCCATTCTGAAATTCCTCCTGGCAAGCATGTATGTCCTAGTTTTGGCTGTGGCTGTCTGATCGCCCTCAAGGTAGATCACACCTGCCATGCTGCTGCATGTACCAGGTAATTCTCTTTTAGCTGTCCTAGTTTTCTGCATGTCAGATCAATAGAAGCAGGTATTAGAGTGTGTGCAATGGAAAATGAGAGGATAAAGGACTGATCTTGAGCATCCTCTAGATTATGTGCTGTAGTTATTTTTTTGGCCATGTAAAATTCCTGCTCTCTTTTTCATAACACTGTTCAGAGGAGGCTGGTATGTGTGATTTTGTTTTCTTATGATTGCTGGGTGTTGCCATCTTATTGCAAAAGTTTCATACCTTCTTAGTGATTTCTCATGGGCAGCTCCTCACAGCACTGTTAGAAATACGGGTAGTAATTCATGGGAATATATGGTGTATTAAATGGATATAAACAAAATAAACCGGGGAAGAAAAGAGGGGAGGGAGAGAATTCCTCTCATTCCCTTCAGGTTAGAAAATCCAGCCTGGAGACCCACTACGAAACTGAGGCAGATAGACATTTACGTCAGAAGAGAGCTGCAGCTGCAAAGAAGGGAAGTGGCCAACGACCCTACGCCCAAGGGATGGCACCAGATAAGATGCCTATCTGGGGACCACTGACACCCTGACTCTGTATGCCCAAGTCCCCAAGTCCAGGAAACCAGGATGATGCCTATCTGGGGACCATTGGCACCTTGGACCTAAATGCCAGGCTAGGGAACACAAGAAGACGACCATTCTACTCTCTGACGAGGTTTTTGTGCAGCCGGAGACAGAGACAAGAAACCAACTTGAATATGAAGGACTCTGAAAGAAACAAAGGTCTACTAGCCGCGGGCAAATTAAACAGTATAAGAACTGCGTCTTTGAAGCAGTTTGGGTGGACAGGGTGGATCTGGTACTAGCGAGGCCATTTCCCACGTTCACCCGTATCATCGACCGGGGGTGATACGCTGTCCGTTTTTGGTGGTGGCTGTCGGACTGTTATTACGGTCGCGAAATAAATTTTATTTTTCATATTTTTATTAAAATTGGCTGACT